AGTGCCCGTTCGCCTGCCTGGGTCGTGTGTGCCCGTAGCTATGGTTGAATACGTCTATCCTATAATAAATATTTCGACTCCATATTTTAGGGATTTATAGATCGTGCCTAGGACGTTTGGTGACCCTGTCTTGTGGTCAAATTATCCAGTATTAGCACTTCTCTCACTACGCTTTACCAGAGACATTAAACAGCCACAGTAACATTATACACCCTTGAGTTACTGTAGTTGTTTGTGTTTAGTCTAACATACGAATATTAATCTCAACCCGGAAGTTCCCCACTCCTGCCAGACCCACTCCACTTCACATACGCAAACATACTCCTCAGCGGCGTGGATCTGTCACTGTCAATAACTGGTTTTTTCTAAGACTATCAACTCAGTGTTTGTCTACTCGCGTGCTTGTTACATGTTTGAACTCCTCCTCGCTCAAGATAATTGATCAACACAAACCTAACCTATACTGACGAATTTATTATCCCTTTTTTATTATCTTCTTTACAGGACCATCCTACTCAATACCTGATCATCCACACCCAGCAGAATTATTCCTAAATATATTTTACAATATGTTCTACTTCCTACTTTACATAATACTGTATTACGGTCACCGAGTCCATTCAATCCTGGCCTTGGAGACTTATCATTATTCCACTCTCACTCTCACATATTGCATACAAGGACTTATGAATCACCACATCTCCTCTCTTAACTTTTCATCTTCGATATGACCTTCTCTGTTGCCTTCATACAGCCATCATCATCTCTCTAGCATTCATCAACATCTCTTTTATGTGAGTCTCCCTCCCTCACGGCCCGCACCTCATGTTGGTAGTTTCCTTTCATCACTGATATAGTTTAAATTATTTCTCCCACGTTTTTCTTTGACCATCATACACCATTTACATCTCTCTCCCTCACGACCTCTTCTCATTCAATTGACTGTTCTACATCCACCGTAATTTTTCATATACAGTACAGTAGCCTTACTTTAATTTACCAGTCTCTTTTAAAATCTCTTCTTTCATGAGATTGTCTAGATATTTTCCAACAAATTTATTAAGGCTGCATAGTGCAGTATATCTCCCACTATGATAATGGCATTGGTGACAGTAATATGAGGATACAATTTCTTATCTTCACCCAAACTTCACGTTCTTGTAAATCAAGTTTTGTATCAGAAGTCAGATACTTACTAAGTCACTACCGCTGCACTAAAGCACATAGGAAATAAAATGCCAAGATATAGTTGAGAAAGGTAGTGGTGTTTGTCACATATATGTACTCGGACCACAGTACAGTACCTTATCTAGAGGATGCTTATGGTGGGCCTGGAGCACCACCACACATTGTAAAACAACTGATGTTTTATGATGCATTGAACATGAATTTAACATACAGTATTCCAGAGACTTGTATTCAGTGTTCGTATTGTATAATTGTCACATGGGTATTCGGTCGTTATTTACTCGTATGGTTATATTGCCCGGTAAAAGTTAATCTCAAGGCATTTCTAAACACAGCATAAGTAATTCAAAATTTACCGTATGCTACGTTTATATTGGAAAAAACAATGATTACAAACTTGATGTGTTTTTGTACCTTTGGATATATTTGGCAAGAATGGTTACTGTATCACAAACTCATTTATATTCTATATATCCAGAAACCTATCAAAACCAAGATTAAAATTATAAGAACATGTCATTTCAGTTTTCTATGCAATACCAAGATGAAAAGTTTTTAGAAATGACAACCATGAAAATAATAATAGCCCAACAAATTAAATTATTATACTGTGGTGTACACGCTTAGTATGGAGTTAGTTCATCAAACATTACCTCAGAGCTATGGGAAACTTGTCTTATGGTGACCTCTCTCTCCCTCTCACACATCAATCTCACAAGAGAGAAATTAGATGCACAGTTGTTCTGTAAGGACAGGAGGTCTAACAGAGCTCCTGCCCTTGTAATCACTACATAATTCACCAGCTACAAGCCACAATCTTGTAAAATTCCAAGCCTAATCTATTCAAATTTAGTTTTTAGAGGATGGGGGATTATTCAAGCCACATACCTACAGTACAGGCTCAGCTGGAAAGCAAAATTTCAGGACCACTCTCTCCTTTCTAGCTATATTCCATCCACCAGGCAGCAGTTATTAGAGAATACCAGCAAAAACAGTGATGGGTGAGGGTAACAGTCTCCAAACTAGGCAGATGCACCCCTCAGAAGTTTACCCCAACTGTACAGAGTGAACGAGCTGGGTACAGAGATAACGCTCACCAGCAACTCCCCTGAACCATACACCTCTGTGGTGTTATCTTGTATGAACCAGGAAAAATTGATCCACTGATATCCAGAAGAAAGACCCAGGACAATGGGTAGCAGTAGCTCATTCATTGATCTCTAAAGAAGACCATTAAATAAGGCATCTGAGCCAGTTCTGTACAGGTCAGAGCCAGGCATCCAAAAGAGACCTACTGTAAGTAATCTACACTAAAAGATGGGTGAATAAGGACATGAAAAACAGAATGTCTAGCCAAGAAAAAATGGGAAAACAATACACCGAGCTATTTTTTTGAGTCACTGGTGAAAAACCCTCATAATAATATGCTCCATGGAGAAACAAAGGACTCAGATATATGAAATGACCACGAAAATGTGCAACAAAGAGTTCCAAACCTAGAAACACTCACCTTATTGTGAAACACCTAACATGACACTGAGCACTGGTGGTAATAACCAATGTTGACAAGAGTTTAATTTTCGATCAACTACCAAAAACCTTAAAAAAAAAATCCTGGACCTCAATGAAGACCGTATCATCTGACTCGCACAAAGGTTCCCCACAAAGATCCCAACAAAATGTGTATAAACGAAAAGGGAAAAATGAAAATGAAGTTTCCATTACAAACTAGAATCAACACTTACAGGTCTAGTACAGTATAACACAACCAAAACCTCACCCCCTGAACAAACACCTTGAGGCCGTCCTTCATGAAACAGAAACAGTTCCATAACCATCTCACAAGGCAACTACTATGGCTGAGTAAGATACACGAACTAACGGCTCATAACCGCTTTATATTCACTGAAAAACGTCATCTCTTACAATGAGAGGAACATACCTCTTGCTATCCATTATTAACTTGTCCTAAAAGGGTTGACCACAAAGAAGGAAAGATGATATTGAGTACAGTAGATAAAATTGAATCTAGATACCTGCCAAAAGTATCAGATACATTTGTAAAGTATCATAGTAGGGAAGGAATATAAATCAAGAGTAGATTCTATTTGAGAGGCTTTAAAAAAATTCAATTATGATACAGCTGAGCCGACAAATCCTGCCAAGTGGCTCTGAAGCCATACAAGTTGTAGTATAGTATACAGGGTGGTAATGGAGTGCCCCAAATACACCTTTTAACCAGGAAGCAAGTGTATGCCCATCTAACTGTATGAATAAAAATATGGAGTATCCTCAAATATCCAGTTAGAGTAATCAATAATGTGTAATAATGAATTTGTATAAGCTTAGGGTAAGGGGGGCAGTAACACCCACCCAACCTACCCACTAAGTTTCAATAACATCTTTAACTTACAGCTGAAGAATGTCTTTTGACCAACATAGTTTAATACTTATATAATAACCTATTAATCAACAGTACTTTCTGTTTAGTACATGCAGCTTCCCTGTCTATGGTTTCATCAATACTGTATTGGTTAACCTGTTCCAGAAATTTTTTATTCACGGGAACACAGAGAAATACCATGAGCACCTTTGCCCTCTGGTGTATATAAGATACTTTTGAACCATTAATTACAAGTTTAATTATCTTTAGCACAGAATCTATGAAAAAAGTTAGACCCTAAATGGCACGAGACACCGACAGTACAAATACAGTTTACTACCCGTTTATCAACAGCCTCTAGTTACCCATCATGTCGTCGTCTACGCTAGACTAGTATCACACTCATCACTAAGATGGAGTAATGGGACAAGGCAGTCCACTCTTTCTGGTGTTTCCCGGGGCACAATGCAGGGTGGAGTATAAGTTGCTTTACTGAGAACTTCCAACTTGAATGTTGGTTCTCAATAAAGCAACTTAAGCACCACCCTGTACTGTACATACCCACTTCTGGCTATTTGCTGTAAACATTTACTGGTATTTTATGAAACTGTACAAACTTGTCACTTATATAAAAACATAACACTTATGCGAGTGAATCTATTTACTGTATAGTGCACTGCACCCCCCATAACAAAGGTGTAGTGTGTGTGAAGCAGCAACTCCTTCAGTTTATCAGCAAAGCATTTATGCTCATGCACTTGAGTTAGCCTTCCACCACCACCACCTGCTATGTTGACAGCAACTCAAGTATATGGAACATCAGTTAACAATGGACTGGGTCAGGTGTTCATCATCCTCTGCAGCAGACTGAGAGAGCCCGTGAAAATCACCTATGATAATCATAAACACTGAACTGACATGTTCCAATTCATAGTAATGCAGTATTGTTCCTGTATTTCCAGTTTTTTTTGTGGATACAGTATAAATGGACTACTACCATAGGTGTCGGTATGATCCAACAAATGTATATCTGATTAATTTGGATAAAACATGAAATATTACAGAATTGTTAAGTTTTACCTCAAAAAATACAGTTGTAAAAATGAAAAAAGAGTTTCATTAATCCAGACTAGTAAAGCTGAGTTCAATCATAACTTCTTATTCAAAGATGCTGTGGCTAAGTGGTTAGTTTTCACCACCTGTCTAAAAGTCCTTTGTTCACCCAGTTATAAACAAGCACCTAACTTTATATTTGGGCAAGTGAAGACTGTCAAGTGCAGTACCAGAAGCATTGAAGGTTTAGTATAGTGTGTGCTGTATCCTCACTGTCCCTAACAAAGTGTCAATCTTAAGTCATATTTATTCATATTTCAAGTGACAGCAGTACAATGCCTTAACCATAATTCAGGAATAAAGGAAAACTACTCCACATTTTTTATCTTTTATCTTAACATTATTAAATAAGTATCAGGGAAAACAAAATTCGTCTCTTTGCCAGTTAATTTCTTGTAGACGGCAGTAAACTTGTCAATCTGCAAAACAATTACCAAGTATTAATTCTAATTTATCATCAGTACTTTTCCATGCAATGTATAATGAATTCAGGTCTTCTTAGAGTCCACAATCAGAAATCATTTTTAAAGTAAGTCATCATCATATTATTGTACATAAAACATTGTTGCATTATCTCTTTAATAACTTTAAATAACTGGAGAATAAGTATTCCGTAAAACTAAATAAAGTCCTGGTTGAGATGGAATATTTGACCTTAATTTGTCAGACACAAAGTTGAAATATTTGGCATCATAGGATGGACGGTTGGGTTAGTTAGTCTTGGACTCGCAAAAAAAAAAACTTCACTAAAGTTTAACGTCAGCAGTAAAATATAGTTGAAGAGATTAAAAGAGTAGTGTTATAGCTTCCTAATTACAGAGACTGAATATTTTCCCAGATTTGATCTAAGTACTGTACAGTATAATGAAACCTGTCAACTCAACACAGGCCTGCCAGCTGTTTATGAGCACCACAGGCGTGTCGAATGTCTCAACCGGTCTACGACGGATTCATCAAAACCCCGGGAAGGTATTCTATTCTCTCGCTGTACCGTGTAATGATCGGGAGACGGTTACCGATGCCTTTTCAACAGATATTAAAGGTGCAACACAAGGAAGAAACTTACTGTAGTGTAGCGAGTGATGGGAGAGAATGGACAAATAAAAGATATTCACTAAAAATACTGTTTATACACAGTACTGTACAGACATCCCTTCTTCAACAATCGTTCACTTAGTGATTTTCCGGTTTGTGGTCTAAAATTTTTAACACCCTTTCTTATTTAATAATCGTCAGTCTTCGATTCATTGGGAACAATTTGAGAGTATTGTCGGCAAAACTGGGGATTCTGTACTCCAAGTGCACATCAATACAGTACAGTACTGTAATATGGAAAGTGAACATATGTATTAAGGCTGTAACTGTGGTCAGCTACACTCTCCTTCCCCCCATGTGACGTCACAGCATACAGGCAGCAGCCGCACTCGTCTCTCGAGTCAGCTTGGAGACTGCCCGGATGAACTGTGTCGTGTGTGTTTTGTACCAATAAATGTGAGGAATATATACAAATAATAATAATAAAAAAATAAATAAATACTGCAGTGACACTTGGTAATAATTTAGTTCTGTGGGCTAACTTTCCAGCATGTAAGAAATATTCATTACCTGTATGTTTTTAATCTTATGATATTTTTTTGACACATTCTGTATAAATGATTGTGTCTGCATGTGACAGTGTAAATGAAAATGAAGAAAAATACGTATATCTATCCCAAATTTCGAGTTGAATAATAACCCAGTTCACAGCCCGGTCTCGCCCACTCCGAGTACTGCTGAGCGACAAGTTGACGACTTGGATAACCAATTACACGCCTTCACGGATATTATTCCTCGTTTAGCTATCATTTTTTTCTCCAGAAACACATCCCCCATTAGCTTCAGTACATACATCACTCAATTCAAAGATCACCAAGTTGATTGCCAGTTCCTGAATACTGTACTGAGAGAGAGTGAATGTTATTAAGTTATGATCAACTTTCACCAAAATCTAAATCTCTGCTCAAATTACTGCCTTCGCAAGATACTCAGAAAAACAGAAGCGCACACACACGAACACTATTTCCGCACCCCCCCCCCCGAAGACTAAAAGCTCCTTGATAAAGTGCTAGGTACTGCCACACTACCATAGCATAATCTGAGTGAGACTATGGAGCATATTATAAGGATGAAGTAAGCAGGGTCAGCTCATCTAGTGAAAGATGTGGTTGAGACCTGTCACACTAACTTGGCATCAAAGTTGGTGATGTCATCTATCTTCCCACCTCTCAGTATAATTTTACCTGGGTTATTTTTTTGAGAGGTAAAAAGAAGAGGAGAGAAAGATAAGAGGAAAAAAGGAGAGAGAAGTGAGAGGAAAAGAAGAAAAGTGATAGGGAAAAAGAAGAGAAGAGAGGTAATCTACATCACCCTCTACCATGAATAAAATGGGTAAATGATAAATAAATGCCAAAACACTCGGTCAAAACTGTATCAAAATTTCACCTTCCTAGATCAGAAAGTGCCTGAGTTATCGCCCAGACAATCATAGCAGAAAGCAAACAAAATTCAAGAGGTAAAAGGCCAAAGCAAGTGATCACTACACTAAATCCTCTTAATACCAGAACCCTTGATAGTGTAATCCGCCAAGAAGCAGAAAAAAGTTCGTGTCATTTTTGAAAATCCTCACATTTCCAGGTGCGGCAATTTTCCAGTGTGCAGTCTGTCTCCACACATGGTGGGTGTTAACACATCATTACACTCGGAAGACGGCCTCAATGATACCACCTGCAGTGCTCCTAATGGCCAGCCACACCAAAGCTGTGGGGTTATATTTACAAAACATTTTCCTCAATAGGAAAATTCTGCATGACTGACCAGAAACTTTCAATCCTGGCAGTGCTGCAGTACCGAGAGGATTTAGTGAATTGAGTTTTAAGTCCAACAACAGTGTCTAGATATAACCTGGAGAAGCAAGCAATAAAACAGAACCACTGAGTACCCCCTCTTCAAAACTTGTATCCTTGTGGCCATGTGCTTTGTAAGGCAACAATAGACAGAATGGAGGAGCGGTGTAACACAAAAATACAAAGGTCAGGCATCATAAACATTCCCCTCTGGACAATGTGTTGAAAATTGTTTTATATACACAGTAAGATCTTGTTGAACAAGTAACTGAAGAATGAGAATTTGGTTTAGTGATCAAAGTGTTATGAAAATCCAACAAATGAACTCGATTTTTATTCAGTGAGAAAACTTTTAGTGATCCAGCTCACATTATTGTATTTGGGGACAAGACTAGTCATGTTTTGTCACTGGTCAAGGGGGCCAACTGGCTGAGTAACTGTAGATTCATACTCTATTCTCTAAGGTGTAATCAATGGCAGGTTGGCCAGTGAGTCTAGACAATGTAGAAGTGTTTGTTTTCTGGATGTGGTGCAAGAACACAGGTGCAGCAATTCTCAAATTTTATGCCAAGAATCTTAAAATAGTGTTTTTCTTTACCTTGTGTTCAATGTTGGTTTGCTGAGCCTTGTCAAGATGGACCTTGATGAGCCTGGAGCCATCAAGTCTAACCCTGATCCTCTTTCCTACGATCTCAGCGGGGAAAACAAGGTCCTCCAGAATGGCATCGTGCACACAGGTCAGGGTACGGCTGTAATAAACACACTGTTAGAGGAGACAACAATGATAATACTTTTTAAGATTAACTTATTGTAGTTCAGTTCTTCTTAGAGGATATCAAGTACCAATCATGGCATATCTTGCTTGAAGGCAATGGTCATCATTATAAGTTTTAAAACAGATCAAATTGTCATAACACTGTCTACATCATGTTAGCTCTATCTTTAAAGCAGTTTCTTAAACAGTCTCTATGAATAAGCCATCACTGTTTCCTACTGCATTTTCACACACAATAAAGAATATAAACATGCACTTAAGATCTTTTTTCTAATACAGGTACTGTATATTATTTTTTCTGCAATAAGAAAGTTTAACATTTCTGTAAAGTACTTAACATAACAGTGAAAAAAGATCATTCAAACTAATTGGCTACATGAGATTTGAAGTTCCTGCTGATGAAATGCAGCTCTGTGAAAATTAATTACTGTAAAGTATTTTCTAATGGAGGAAGAAAAAATAGAAACCGGTTCAATCTTATATTATCATGTCTATTTACCTTGTGTTCCATGTTAGGTTTGTTGAGATGAACACAGATCCTCTTGCCTATAGTCTCAGCAAGGAAATGAAAGTCTTCGAATATGGCATCAAGCACACGAGACGGCACAGCTGTAGGATAGAAAAAACAAACGTGTCAAGCAATACAACGATGACCTGATCTAAAAAAAAACATCTATAGTATTTCAGTTCTTCTTAGAGGATAACAAGTACCAATCACAGCCAAGTATTGCTTGTAGGAAAGATCATCATTAACAGAAGTCTTACACATCTACACTGTTATAACTTCACCATCTACAGTACAACTAATGACTCTATTGTTCTTTGTAGTGTCTAGGGCAAGATCTCCATCAAAAGGTCATCATCCCCTCCCGTATTATGTCTCAGATGAGGATAAGTGAGAGACTAGTGTGTGTGTGTGTGTGTGTGTGTGTGTGTGTGTGTGTGTGTGTGTGTGTGTGTGTATGAGCGACAATGTACTGTACGGTTCAACCTTCATATAACGAACTTCTCTCTACATAATCCATTAGATGTTTTTTAACACCGAACAGAACCTCGATATTACGGACTTTGATCTCTATGTAGTTTGTTACGTGTAAGTTTTATATCAAACAGACCTTCGATAAAACGGATTAGCTCTCCACACAGTCGAGGTTACACTATTATACAGTATAAAATGGGTGGGTATGGTGGAGAGTAAACCATTTAAACTAAGGTAATGTTTACTCCGTTAACTTATGCACACATCAAACACCTTGAATATTAAGGCAGATAAACCAAGAATACACAGATCCCATTGGTCCCCACTACACACTCCTTCAACAAGCTTGGATGACAGTAGAAAGGACAGGTAAATATACAGACAGGTGGGAATTAATACACCGAGTATCCATAATAAATGCCAAAGTATAATACAGGAAGATAAGTCACCAAAGTCGACGGAAAAAAAAGTTTATGAGGAAGCATTTAGGAGAAAAAATGTACTCTAATAATTTTCTACTTTTTGAAAGAATATTAAAGATCTTAAAAGAATAAATACTTTGCTTTAATAAAAAACCAAAGAATATCAAATCCCTTTTTCCTTTGTACTGTATAAAAAATTTCTTGAAGGCATTTATGCTCCACTCTCAAAAAATTTCCAACTACAGAATTCTTCAACTTCATATTATTAAACATGGAAATATCTTGTCTGTTAAGAAACTATATACATGTACCGGTATTTGTGAGGTATGTATAGTATTCACCTGACCTGAGGAATGGCTCAATCTTACACAGTACTTCAGTATTAGTGTTTATTTACCTTTTGAGTTAGTTTGCTGTGCCTTGTAAAGATGAATCTCAAGTTGGGAAACATCACACCCGACTCTGATCTCCTCTTCAGTTCTGGCTTCTTATCTCTCGTGGAAAAACAAAAATAAACCGTGAAAGACGACAAAGACAGAATGGAGACTCTTTTTACCAATACTAAATAATACTGCATTTAAATATCCAAGAATTCTTCAACATAAACTTCAGTGATGATTCTAAGTCAAAGATAAATAGAGCGAGCTGAGTTTTTTTACCAAATTGTTTATTTAAAGGATTAATGTAACAAGATCCATGAGGTAGGGAACTAATCTTCAACCAACTGACACAAACACCACGAGAATGACTACACCTTAGCCATCTAACTGACCAACACACAAACAGTAACATCAATACTCAGTTGTTACCTTGTCTCACACTTGATCTAAACTATCATAACTATACATAACCATCCTTAACTATACTGTCTACTATTTCAAGCTTGTGGACTCTCTCTACTAGCTACTCAAATTTACTATCAGAATATTCAACAAAAATCTTAATATATATTTAATCTTAATTGCTAAAAAATCTTTCTAATGATTGAGTAAAAATTATAAAAAACATTAACTGTAATTATCGATGCAGATAAAATTTCTTAAAGTCTGACAAATATTAATACAACTGGCATTAATTAAGAGAATGAATGAATGACTGAATATTATCTTGGTGCCAAAACAGCCAAGGTCATGTGGTGCTGGAGATAATGGTAAACGGTTAAATTAATATGACTGAAAATAAAACAAAAGCAGAAGTAAAATAACCAAAAAGGAAATGACAAGAATAATTAGAGGTTTAAATTACTACTACTACTACTAACCATTTTGTTACGGGTCATCAACTTGCTTGGCCCTCGTCCTGGTAAGATCTTGAAGCAGCAGTCTTTTAAGCTCACACTTCATCTTCAGGAACACTGCCAGGTATGCCCAGTCACCAAGGGCTCTCATTTGCTTCCATAAAATGACAAATAGGAATCAAGAGGTAGGAAACTGCCTACAGTACTTCATGTTTGAACCTATAACACACTACCAAAAATATTAAAGAAAAGAAGAAAAAATTCATTCATTGGCTGCCAAATCCTATTACATTAGGTGATACTGACTCAGCCAGTGTATGACAACAGTTGAGAATGTGTTGATTCCTCTACAAATTTATACCATAATTACAAAATAAACATCATTAAAGCTTAAAATACACCATAGCTTTTTTAACTCCACATATATATATACTTAAATTCATGCCCACAAAAGGTTAATATAGTTTGGTCATGTTCACTGGCAGAGACCAATGCCCCTATAAGACACACCAAAATCTACTTACCCCGACAACTTAACCACTTGTTCATGGGGTCACCTCTGCTGAATAGAACAATCTGACATTAACCAAGTAAAATACTAAGTGGCATCCCCGTAGCAATGGGGTTAAGACATTCACACCGAGTATAGGCTGCACGTGTGATCCCCTAACATCAATCTAGCTCAGATAACCTCAGTCAACAAACAATGCATTGATAGTTTCTTTAAAATCAATAATCTGTACAAGCCTGAACCAAACAACTCCCGACACAACCTATTCCCCGCTCACATTTCACTTCACCAACGCACAACCTCTCCACACACACACACACACAACTCTCCTACCTATAGTGTCATAATAAATAGGTTAACATGTTCTGCAGGTACTGTGTTCAATGCCACACAAACCAAACCCAAACACAATAAGTAAAGATACTGTTAAATCAATAATAAAATACACATTGTTATCTGACATGAAGAATCTATTTAAAGGAAAACAACTCAGCTGTATAACCATAAAACAAAGTTACACATTAGTATATCTATTACTGTAAACCCCAACTGTCAATGGCACACATCATCTACTCCACACTAAGCTACCGACCCTCACTCTGGGACTCACGTTTGGAGACTCTAAACCGACAAATAACTCGCGGGGGATAAAGGAAAAACCGATCCATCTTTTTTTTCTCTTTATTTAAACATTTACAAATAGGTGTCACGGAACTCAAAGTTCACCTCTTTGCCAGTTAGTTTCTTGTAGACGGCAGCAAACGTGTCAACCTGGAATACAAGTGTCGAGTATTATTATGACACACCAACGATGCTTTCTAGAGTGATGTGATGTTAATTCAGTTCTTCTTAGAGTATACAATCACAAATCATCTTCAAATTGTCATCATAACATATTTATTTGCCTATCTACAATATCCTTTGCCTATAATAATAATGATGATTGTAAGGACTAAATAAACTTTTGATTGAACGTATATTAAGTAACTTGTCAGAAACAAAGTGAGGAGTAACATTAGGTTTCACTGGACCCATGATGGGACAACAGGTATATAATATACAGTTGAAGACAGGCGGTGCAGATTAACAATGCCCGGCAGCATGGACTAGTGGCCTGACAAGTGATTATTCAGGCCCTTAAGCCCAGCATTTGTCCAGCGTTAACATTAATATTTTGAGAGAAAAATACACGAGGAATTTTTTAGGTGCTGCATGACCCCACGTATTAACCAGTGAGATGTTGGGAGGGTGAGGAGGTGTGTGTGTTTGACCTGATGCCATGCCACAGCTGATCCTGAAAATCTATACAAAAGTTCCCACTGATTGCTGTGTGAGCAGTGGGGGACCCCCTCCCCCCAGAGCAAGTAGTTTTCAAGTCACTTGCCTGTGACAATAACAGTAAATGGCCCACATAATCTGCCCAGCCTGTTTAAAAAACAGAATCAAGTGGGAATATGTCTTCCTTGATAAGCACATTAACAATATTGTGTGGCTAAGAAGGAAAGAATAAACAAATTGAAGGAAGACACGACTGGTCTATCTGTACTTTACACCAAATCAGGAAGGCTGAGCTAACCCTTAACCAGCAGATAAGGATTCCCTACGCTGCCCCATATGTATGAAATAGGAATAAAAGGAACGTAAAACATCAACGGATGGTGTCTGCCGTCAAGCTGCCATTACAACTAACTTCGACAGATGATGGCTACCATTTAAGGGTTAAGAGCTACACTATACATAAAGTCTGATTAACTATAGAAAAAACGTCAATTTGAAATCTTTAACAACCTTGGCTGCCAAGTATATAATATGCAAGTATGTGAGAATATCTCTACTTGTTGCCTTAAACATTTACTGTTGCTTACTATAGTCATTTTTCACCAAGTCTTATGATCATTTCTTAAGAGATTCTATACCCCATGATCCACCCCATACAGAAGTGGGATGGATACAGATAAATAACAAAAGCATGAATGAAATATAATGGAAGTAGCCTGTCTTGAGTCCAGCTATATAAATGCATTATCCCAATCTTAAACAGTAAACCAAAGAGATTTGTCTTTACCTTGTGTTCAATGTTGGTTTGCTGAGCCTTATCAAGATGGACCTTGATGAGTCTGGAGCCATCGAGTCTAACTCTGATCCTCTTTCCTACGATCTCAGCGGGGAAAACAAGGTCCTCCAGAATGGCATCGTGCACACAGGTCAGGGTACGGCTGTAATAAACACACTGTTAGAGGAGACAACAATGATAACATTTTTAAGATTAACTTATTGTAGTTCAGTTCTTCTTAGAGGATATCAAGTACCAATCATGGCATATCTTGCTTGAAGGCAATGGTCATCATTATAGGTCTTACAACACTGTTAGCTCTCTTATTCTATAACAGTTTATCAAATCAAATCTCTTAAATAGCTTAAGTTCCCTTTTGTGTTCCATATGAGGATGGCTAAGTGCTTGTGAGGGTAAGTAAGTGTTTGGGAGGGAGAGGAAAAATGTATACTAATAATGAGGCAAGAAATAAATGAGTTAAGATAAAAGAATATAATGAACATGGTAAACCAAATTAAATTTATGAAGAGAAAATAAGTCGCACAGAACTTCATTATTTATATACTCTTGTATCTTCACAAATGCATTTCTTTGCTCATACTTTAAAAAAATACAAATACAATTCCCATCAAACTGAGGCATACAGAAGGACTATGGTATCTGACTCCCTGGCTTTTCTGAGGGATGTGACTGGCTCTCATGTGGATAGGTTGCCAGACATGTGACTACTGTACTGTACCCACATGTATGACTATTCTGAGGCCACAGTAACTGAAGGGAAACACCAAGAGTGAACGAATACCAACTTGGTCCACCAGAACAACACCTCATAAAACCTTCTTCCTAGTGCAGCACCTGTATATGCTTCTCCCTCAGATCAATGTGCAAAACTGCCAACTGAGCCTTGACTCCCTACCTGAAAGCAAACCTGACAAGAAAACAGAAGCCTCCTCGTGAATCTGTCATATTAGGAGGAAACTGCAGGCTGAATTTATGGCTTCATCCTACTGTATAAATACCAAAGTTTCCAGATCCACCCCATTTATTCATTATTCATGTAGTCATTTAGGATCAGACTATGGAATATCCACTCATCACCCTTTAAGAGAACAGAGAAGTCATTATGAACTGTACCGACTAACAAACTGTGGGACCTGTAATAAAGAAGGAACAAAGAGCCTCTGTTGCTGTGAAAGAAGTTAAAGAGAACATTTCCAGTCACTAAAGAAATGAATATTATCTCCAGCGTCCCAACTGCTGGTCTGCTGCAGCAAGGTGTTAAATGACTTCCCGAAGGCATAACTAAACACAAAGTTAAAGGACAGATAAACTAACCACATTAAACTTTCACTGGTAATCTGGCCAGGAAGAAAAATAAAAATGCCTGAACTCTTAAAATTTACCCTCAAGCAAATAATGGCTCCCAGGACAGTGATCTAATAGTGAGTGACGCTGACAAACCTGAGCCCCCCCCCCCCAGCCTAACTCTGGCAGGTATATTATATAATGGTCAAAGGAAGGTGAGGTTGTGCTGGTTACTGAGGTACTAAGACTCATCACCACTCAGTCATAAGGTGCAGTCTGTTTCTCCAGCTACCTATCTTTATAAGGGCGATGGTGGTAATTGGGGGACATCACTTATCATTGATTAGTGCCAGCGGTCAATATCAAAGGTCAGTCTGGGGTTACAACCTTAAACTAACACAAGGTTATAAATAAAGTTATAAGTACAGTAAAAAATTAGCAGGAAGTGGTCATATATCATAACATGTACTGTACTATACAAGGAGTCCAGGAAACTCTGATAAGAACACAAAGAGTATAGAAATGAAAATGAACGTGGTTAATAAACAATATAGAGTGAGTCTAAGTTTCCATAAAATCATAACTGCATACTGTACCTCCTGGGTCTCTTTTGCTTGGGAGGGTTCTTCATCTTACGGGTTGGCTTTGCTAGGATACGTCGCTGAGCAATAACAACCACATGCTTGCCACTGAACTTCTTTTCCAGTTCACGCACCAGCCGCTGCTGAACACGCTGGAAGGCACGCAACAAAGGGACTGGCACGAAGATTGCAATGCACTGCAAGAGCAAAGCAACATTACAACAAGAAAAGAGTCAGCACACCAACTATAAATAAAATACAGTACAATTAAGGCAGCCCCCATTTTTTACTTGGATATTAAATTCCTGTAATGAGTACACCATTCATCCCCAACTCTTCATACAAATCTGCCAAAAATAGGGGAGATGAGGTGGAGCACTTGTCCTCTGGCAACAAGAGGCCTGACAGTAACCAATGAGGACACTTCTCACCAAGACCAGGGATCTGTCATCTTGTTTTAAACCAATCCTTCATCTTTGAGTCAGTTACTAGTCAACTATACAAGTAAGTCTAGGGAGGATGCCAACCACCTGGCTATCAGCTCCACCAGAAAATTGGAGGTGAGGATGAATTCTCCATTTCTGTATACTGTATTGTTTTCCACCAGACAGGTCCTCTTAACACAAGTGGAGGAGGAGGCAGTGCTAGAGAATGTCCCAGCATCAGTCAAACAAACCCCAGTGAAGATCTGACTCTTTTCGTTTGATATCAATAAAGATTAAGTCAATGTACATCACATACTCCTCAAACCTCCAATCGATACAGAGTGATGCTGTTATTCTTAAACCTCTGCCCACATGCTATCATTATAATCCCCAGACAAATTGAACCTCACAGTTTTGTCTTATCAAATAATCAGAGATATTTTGGGTGAAATATTCCCTTGACACCTGAACATAGTGTGTGGGCCAGTAAGGAAGAGAATCATCTACAGCTCATTCATCTCATATAATTTCATGCACCATCACCAAACTTAATTCCCTCAATACTGTATCTAAGTGACAATCAATTTTCAGAAGATATGCTCTAAAAACAACAGCATCAATCACTTAATTTACAACTACAGTAAAAACATTAACTATATACAATACACTGGTAAGATATGGTTCAGCATTACCCCACCCACTACTCCATCATGCTTACATATGACAGTACTGTACTTACCTATTATTTATTTCAAGGTTGTGGATGACTAACTACCTCCTAAAATGCAGCTTAAGTGTTCATAATATCTAACGTTCAAATCTTAATGAATTTTATTACCGATTCTGAAAAACATAGCATTTCTAGAGTGTGATTTAGGCTTGTAAAAGACAGCAGGCAATTAAGAAAACCTGTTCCTATGAGAAACCTCCATTAACAATCTAACACAGTATTACAGGTGACATTACAATAAAAACTAAGACACACTAACCTTCTTATCACTAACGTCAATTTGCTTAGCCCCAGTAATGGAGAGCTCCCGAAGCTGTGCCTTAAGCTCCGAGTTCATCTCCAGGTCGAGCAGTGTCTGCCCGATGGAGGTTTCGAACTCATCAGGCTGTTCAGCCGTCTGCTTAGTAATCTTGCCATTGCAAAACTGCGGCATCTGTCAATACAAAAAGGAGGATACAGTAATGTACTGTATATATGAGTTACCGAAGTCTCACTAACTTGTCAAGCGAAGTAACACAATACAAAGCATAAATTGGTACAGTCTCTTGATTTGAAACCTTATTTTGGTGTTAAACAATGCAATTTGCATATCAGTAACATGGCAGATCCCGTGCAGACTGATATTTTGTAAATACAGTGGACCTTCCATTAACGAGCGCAATTGGTTCCAGTCACTCGTAATCTGAATCTATTATTTCAATGGGATATTGGGTAATTGGTTCCAACTTACAGAATTCCCAAAGACGATTTAAAAGGTCCATACTGTACAGAGTACTGTATACCGGTAAAACATAGAATTAAGAAAACATTAACTATAAACAAACACAATACTGTACAGTATACAGTACAATAATAAATAAAAAACAATAAAATATTTTAACACTTAATTTGAGGAGTGTACTGTATGTAGAATTCCAGGCGGCTTTGTATACACACTCCAGGTTGTAGATTCCACTATGCTCCTCGGCGTCACCATAGACAACAAACTAAATTGGAAACCACACGTCAGTGAAGTTGTCAAATCCTCCAGTTTCCGTCTCCACCTCCTACGCCGACTCAAGTCCCTCGTAGTTCCTGCCCCCGAGCTCCTCAGTTTTTACTCAACATTCATACTTCCCAAGCACACCTATGCCTCCCCTACCTGGTCTTCCTCCCTAAATGCCACACAACGTAAACACCTAGAAAAAGTGCAAAAGAGGGCATGCAAGATTATTCTCTCCCCTTCCTACTCCACATATCAAGAAGCGCTCAACACACTGACCCTCTCGGCTCTCACTGACCATCACCACGACCTCATCTGCAAATTTGGAGAGAAGCTTCTGCACCATCCACGACACCGGCTCCTACTACCACCCAAGATCCCTCACCCGAGAATTGCTGTTCGACACCACAACCGCATCCAGCCCATACGAGCACGAACTGATCACTATAAGAACAGCCCAGTCCCAACCATTGTAAAAAATTATCAATAACTTGTAATCAACCAGTGTATTCACTCCCAGTCAATCTTACCTTTAACACTGTCACTGTTGAAATGCCCTGTAGTATGACCTTCTCCCCACCTAGTTATTATATATCATATTTGTATCACTTATGTTACTTGTATATTATTGGTCCATCAAGAGACCCATTCCCCAATTATGTAACTGTATATTTTCAGCCTTCCGGCAGCCATGCTCTTTAAATAAACCGTTAATTATTATTATTATTATTATTAAACAGCCGCTTGTAGACACAGTCGATGACAACATGCCATATTCTTTACAGAGTGCATTGGTTCTAATGCCTTCTTTGTATTTCTTAGTAATTTCTTGTTTCACTTGAATTGAAATTGCCTTCCGTGATTTTTTTTGAACTCGTGCTTGATAATTTCACCAATTAAATTTTAAATTCACAACAATTTATTTAAGTAATTCCAGATAATTTTATTTAAACCAACAATGCTCTGTATATTATCAATGTTAATTACATTTCAGAATTTAATGTAAAAATGCAAAAATATTCAAGAGCACAACTTCCTCGATGTTTACTCCACCGGAAACAAAGGTAAACAGAACCGATTATTGGCGGCCGAGTCGATCAGCTGAGGTGCGCACCAAAACGTGTTTCTCGTAAGGCTGTCATTAATTGTACTGAAGTCCTTACGGGAGGTAACTCATTAACTGAAATCTCATAAATTGAACCGCTCGTTTATGGAGGATCCACAGTATATTACTGTAGTTGTCCACTCTAATATCACATACTATTTCCTTAGGCGCTCTTTACAACTCTGACATCGTGAACAACATGAGTAGGCATGTTGTGAAACTCGGTACAGTATGAATAAAACTGTTAGGACGACAATGGTGAAATGCCTGTTTAAGGTCTGTGTCAGTTATAACACTTCCATTTAATGTAATCATGTCAGTGGCTTGTTTACATATGCCTTCACTACCCAGCACGAGACATACACTAATATAGCTTAATTAATTCCTTGTTATATTAAAGCATCTAGTACGTCATACAAGGACGACTCCCTCCCACAATCCTACATCCATCTCTAGTTGTAGCGACGGATAATCTAACGATACTTTTTGGGTGGGTGGGTGGGTGGGTGGGGGCTGTACCTACACACACAGCTTTCCTTGATCCTTAATTATTAATGCAGTGCAGTATTTTTATCCTTGCATACTCAGATTTATATATACTGTAATGGTTGTCCCTTGTGTTTGAGGCCGACCAGCCCTGGGCCATTGAGGCATGAAATTATTAGAGTGCTCGTGTTACCAGGTAGGAGCTTACATAGCCGGATACTCTGCCAATAAGAGCACATGTAGCTGGGCTATCAGGTTGGTTTAGCTGGGGTATCAAGCTACACAAGCTCTTCTATTTGTTGAAGGTGTAGAAGCTGACAACAACCAAACCCTAAACTAATGAGCTACAGTGTATGACTCACTGTATAATCCCATATAGTATCAACAAGTCCAGTAATACTGTATCCAGGTTCTCAATTACAGTACTGCTGAGTAAACTGAGACAAATGGTGTAAAGAGACTTGTTAATAGTTTCACCACAATGAACCATGACACTCAGTTGTGAAGTGAGCAAGTTAACCATTACCAGTTATATACTACACTGTTTCTTCATACACACAGTACTAACACACAGTCTTTTATAAATGTACTCTCAAACAAGAGACAGGTCTTGAGGCATGCAGTTCCCTTAACTCCTTCCTGATGTCAATGTGTGAAACATAACTACCTAATGAAAACCAATCCTGTTTCAACAAATTCCCAAGTCTAACGGCTCATTCTACATATAAACTAACTTGTCAGGACCACAAAAGAAGTATTGTGAGAGGAAAGGTCTAACCTTCCAAAAGCCACAAATAAAAAAGCATAATGCTATTGAAGTAAGATTACTAACTTCTGTAGCCCAGCAAACAGCCGAGTGTCTCAAACAGTATAGTACTGTTTCATGACCAAAATATAATCCACTGTTAATACTTATTATTTCTAATGGATCAATGAATCAGAGTACTATCCTCATATCTTGAGGTTTAGCGACCACCGTGGTTCAGCAAAATACCGGGTAGCCCAAAATAGCCTATCAGGCTATTCTGTCAGCCACTGCATAGTTGTTATACAAAATATAATAATAATAGTATAATGGTTGCCCATCGTGTAAAGAGGATGGCCGGCCCAAGGGCCACCTAGGTGTGAATTTAAGAACAAAAGAAAATAAGGAGTCTGCAATAGGCTGGTTGGCCTGTGCATGGCAGCTCCTGTCGAGAGTTACTACCACTCTCTATCATCCATGAATCTATCTAGCCTCCTTTTGAAACTTTCCAGAGTTCCAGCACTTACTACAAAGTTGCTAAGCTTGTTCCACTCGTCCACCACCCTATTTGTGAACCAGTTCCTTCCTATCTCCCTCCTAAACCTAAACTTATCCAACTTGAATCCGTTGCTCCGAGTCCTATCCTGCTCGGATATTATAAGAACTTTATCTATATCGCCTTCATTGGTTACTTTCACCCACTTAAATACTTCTATCATATCTCCCCACACTCATCGTCCCTCTAGGGAATGCAAGTTTAGTTTCTTTAATCTATCTTGATATGGAAGGTTTCTAATTCCCGGAATCTTTTTCGTCATTCTTCGCCGCACCGACTCCAGTGAATTGATATCCATTCTATAATAAGGGCACCAGAACTGAACCGCATAATCGAGGCTCAGTACTTGGACCATTATTATTTATTATATCCATAAACGACATAGATATCGGCATAGACGGAAATTAGCAGTTTTTTTTTCGTTGGACGATTTCCGAAAAAAAAATAATGGCTAAGCGATTACAAAATACAAAAAAACTAGAAAAACATAAACCTGACCTGACCTGACCTAACCTAACTGACTCTCACCTATTTCTTACCTTATTGGCCTGGTTCTTGTTCGTCGTTGCATTCTGGGATTCTTACCCAACGCCACATATGTTGGTCTTTGCAATATTCACATTCAGTCTTGCTCTTAGTGCACTTTACGGAGGTTTGAAGAACACCATGCCATCGAAAAAATGCTACAGTTTCTTCGTTTTTTTTCCCAACAACTCACAAACAGCTCCATGTACTTTAAGTGACACCCTTCACAGACTTCCATGGTCAGAACTGAACTTGAATTTCAAAATATGACCCAAAATAAAACTTGAATTTGATCAGGCCAAATATACTCCGAATTATCTTATAATTAGACATCTTATTCGAATATGATAATAGATTAGTGGTAGGAATGAACGATGTGTAAAGGCAATAATACCTTTTTTATTCAATATAAACTATACCAAGAACACAAAGGCAAGGTTAGATAAATAAAGCCACAGGACATAGATAAAGGCAGCCTAATGTACATGCTTGGTGGGCAGACTGTACTGTGAGTTACTAGATGGTCTTCTATATGACTAAACCTAACCTAATGACCAACACAACTGCCATACCTGTGTTAACTATGAAAAAAAATAAGCCATTAAAACATCAACAATAACCACGAGGGATGAACTACACCACATGGGGGCCAACAACCACCATAACTATCCTCATAAATACCTCATAAACCACACATATTAACCTTCAATAACCCACTATATCTTAACCTCTATCACTCCCCAATATAATACACAGATTAGAGTTTAAACCTAGTGAGTAATAGGTGGATTAAAAGGTTATTAAGTGGTGTAGGAGGACGGTACCTTGGCTAGGGCTCAGGGCCACACGAGTAGAGGAGGATGACTCTCCCTGACGGTCACAGTGCGCACCCCTCCCCACCCCGCCAGATTTAAAACCCTTATTATTTCCCTATTATTTATCTCTATTAAGGATATTATTTAGCTGAAAGTAAAACGTAATGTGTTATTTGGTTTTATTATTAATTTTATATAAGTAGTGGTAATACTTTTTTATTGCTTGTATGTAATTATGTGTTTTAATAACCAATATCTGTAAGAGGGTTGTGTAAGGTCCATACACTAGACAAAATCTATAAATAGTTAAGAAATGTTACAACTCATATTATGAAAATTTAATAACATTACAGCCAATAAGCCAGAATTATGACATTAGTGTAATGAAAAACGCCCTAAATTTTCCTATTGCATGTTTGCATACCTGTTAAACGACTAAAACAATTATTAACAGGTTTAATGCGTTTATATAATGAGTATTTGAAAGTGTTTGGGTAATAAACTGACAAGTGGTGAAGCTGATAAAATAAATTCCAGTCAAGGGTTGAAGGGAAAGTGAGTCAATCATCTGTACATCATGGCGTCAAACAACCGACGAGTAAGACGAGCCTAAAGCTATTGAGGTAAATAACTGGGGTAACTGCTTAAAAAAATTTATTAATATTTAATTCACTTAGAAACAAACCAAATCACTATAAAATAATCAAAATTTAGGTAAATTAATAATAAATAAATAAATAATAGACTATTATCCAGATAAATCCCAAATAAATCCAAGAATTCACATAATTGTAGTTTAATGAGCATGACATACCTGGCTGGGGGGACTCAACCAGCGTCTTACTGTGTCGCTGCTTAATAATTACTCAATAAACTTTAACAAGGCGATGATAAGTACTCTGAGTTCCATTAAGTGTGTAGAGAGACTTAATTAAGTATTGAGTGGGAGATGTGTGTTGTTAAGGCTGTTGAAGACATGGTATGAGGTATTGGTGATGGTCGTCAGGGGTTAAGGATCATACGGGGATATAATATAAATCTATCCTAGGTAAGTATCTTTGGGTGAAAGTACGATGAATTCAGCTTATAAATGCTGTGACAACTTGAGCATAATGATTTTAAGTCCATGAGATAACTCCATGAGAAAGGAAAAACATGTGGCCTCCATGCTTGGTTAATGTCTTTTTTTTTAGTTTACTACTTTAAATATGAATTGTTATGTCCATGGTATCAGTAAAGGTGATTATTTTCAGAAGGGGAGTGGTGGGAGATGGCAGACGTGGAGGAGGAGGTGTTGGCATCAGACAGCACCCAGGACACCCTCCAGCTGGACTGTCTTATTGGTCATATAGAAAATATAATTCTTAGTAAGTTATATTGGTGTTACTATAGTGTGTGGTCTACCAAGGTAACTCCCTAACCTAACTAAACCTAATGTAATATAACCTAACCTAACCTAACCTAACCTAACCTAACCCAACCCAACCCAACCCAACTCTTGGTAGACCTCACACTACAGTAGCACAGTTATCATCATTTGGTTATTATCTGTTATTGACGTATATTTCCGTAATTATTCCTTCGCTTCTTTCTCCCTCAACACACAGTGACATTTAACGTCCACTTACTTTTAATTACACTTGACTCCCTCTACTATGATAATGTTGGGGTCTGTCCTTGTTAAAATACCCAAATGTCTAAATTATTCAAAGTGGCATTGAATATGATTTAGTTGAGATACTGTAATGGAAGTAGGTTACAGGTATTCAATGAGTACAAAAAGCCCAATCCAGGGGTTTAATTTATTCACAGGTCAACAAAAGATAAATGTTATGTCGGGTGTTATACCAAGTTTAGTACTGTACTGTGTCAGATGATAATGTGTTCCCTTGCTTGACTCTCACCTGCACAAGGACACTCAGATAAAGTATTCCTCTTGGGCTCTACCCCAGGCGGTGATCTTCCACACATGACATCAGATTTCAACTTGTCGGACACGTGGGGAAAATTTGACATCTTTAGTGTTATCTGGACATTTGGGTCTTGATGTCACAAAGTTGCTGAGTAATTTGACATCTCCTAAATTAATGAAAGGGAAATTGAAGGGTTCTGAGTGTACCATATCTTCTTTTTCTGCTTCATTTAACAATAGTTACACTTTTACTCTTAAGATATCATCATATTTAACTACATAACTTTATACTTAATACAATGTAATTTTCTACATTTTTCTTTAATTACGACATCATCTCATCACAGGGAACTTCCTCTCTCCCTGCATTAGCTTACTTGTTGCATCTCCATAAAACAAAGTATTGTATTATGGAAACTCTCTCTCCTTCCGTGATGAGTTTCTTTGTTACAATAAACATATGAAGAAGTTAATAAGTTAAAGAGAGGTGTGAGTACTGGACTGTACAGCTCCAGTGTTTGCCTCATGTGAAGTAACTGGTGTTGGAGTTTGTTTCATAGACCCTGGCTTAATTAAGTGAGCAGTTGTTTACACAGAAATGTAAAGTAACCCTACAAGACAGTGTTCCTGCTTCAGAGAGCACCCTAGGACAAGTCAGACTGTTAGAGGTCTTCTGCCATGATAATCTTGCAGGCAGTGAAGGGTTAAGGCCCTCTGGAGTCCCTCCTCCTCGTTTTTAAAGTACAGTTTTGTAGTGTAATACATAAAAAACAAAACGACAGGTTTGCATGTATTTTGGCATTACCCAAAGTTTTAAAAATAGTAAAAGATACCCTGTCACTTATTAGAAGAAGACCTTAGGTGCCTAATGGGTAATCCTCCACTATACTTGCAGGTTGTTTGTCTCTTCCCATTGACCATAAAATGGAATTCAGGCTTCATTATTTGAATAGAATTTTTACATTCATATTGTCTATAATTTGCAGGAAAGACCTAACAATAAGGAGCAATATCCTCACTAACTTGTTCAAATCTCCAAGTGTTGTATACAAAGTGAATCTTGAGCTGGTACAGGAGTCTTATGATTAACTCTTACAGGTGATGAGTTTGCTGCCCTGAGAGAGAACTTCCTGGAGCAGCACTGTCAGGTGTTTGATGATGAAGATGAGAACAAGTTGGAGTACATGGATATCTTTAAACAATATGTACGTTATACTTAGGGACTTAATGATGTTTTCCTCTGGACCTACGCTTAATTATTTATGTTATAAGAAAGTGATTTAACTAAAGTTCCTCATATTAGGATTTGGATGACGTGAAGATTAACCCTCGGGTTATTTCACCTGTTGGAAAATGGCCGTAAACGGCTAGATTAAGGGTCTCGTGGGCCTGGGGTTAATTAAATCCAGAGGGCCTAGCTCAGGCTATTGGTATAGGCTAGAGTATATATGCTAATACGTACAGTATGTAAGTATGCATGAATGTATATTATACAGTATATGTATGAATATTTGCGGTAAATTTGAACGTCAGCGGCACAAAATATAAACAGTAACTAGATCTAAAATAATGATCGACAGCCGGAAAACCTCTCTAATATTTCAACTCGCCCGCCAGGATTTTTTTATCTCCTATGGTGACCGGACTGGCTATTTTGTGCTAGTCTAAGAGACCTATATTAGAGAAAGGACTTATATTTTTGTGGGCCTATTTTTCTAGTGGGTCTGGGGTTACAGCCCCATTAGTAATCCACCCCGACGTTAAAACATTGTGATGATGGTGGTGATGAACACCTGGAGGGAATAGGTTAGGTTAAGTTGGGTAAGGTTAGGTTAATAGTGGGGTAGTTAATGTTAAGATGACCTGAGCTGGGAGGGTTAATCTTCTAGGGATTGTAAAATTTAGATAAGACAGCATCACAGAAGTGCTGTCTATTGCTGGTGCTACTATAGCGTGCGGTCTACAACATATTTACACGACAGACTGCAATCGACAACCTTTACAATGTGGGGGTCTTCGGGTTCCGTTCCTGAGGACGTTCTTAAGTTGGATTTGTAAGTAAGTCAGAACACATGCTATGTGCTACTGTACTGTACTTACAGAACAATGTTTAAAACCCCACTATATCATAACCTAAGTCCTTATATACATCTAAAATCACTTAATTTAAGACAAAAGAAGAAATAGGATGACAAAATACAGTAAATGAAAGTAAAAAAATAAGTCATCAGGTAAATAAAATACTGTAAATTTCCCCGCTCGTATCGGTGGGCGTTCATAAGTCGGGGACCTCCTGTACTTTAGAATGTATACTATCAAAATTTTCTAAGTGATTTAGTATTTTTAGGAAAGGTTAGGTTAGGTTAGGTGAGAATAAATATTTCTTTGTAGACCGCACACTATAGTAGCACCTTGTTGTTATTGGTCAGTGTGGTCCTCCATACAATGTCTGAAGGAGGAAGACCTTGCTTTAAGAATGTTAGTAAGAACCTTCACTTCATCTTGTCATCATACACAACATTCAACATCTGTTACCACCTCACTACATTCTCTTGACAAATAAACAACAACACACGTTAACCCTTTAAGGATACTGATGATATAATCTTTTTTTGATCTATAGTTTAACTCTCTAAAGGTAATGGTTTAACCCACTTGTCCTCATAGAGTTAAGGTAAACCATGAAGTACTACAGGTGCAAGTATTTACTGTAGATATTAAAGCTTATTAGGGTTGTTGGAGATGACACTGAAGTACTGTACACCTTTCAAGTGAGGGAGATGTGGGATTAAGTTTTTCATGATATTGAGTTTGAAAAAGAAGCTGATGTTATTGCTAAAGAAAGATAAGGATAATATATTTTGGTTATAATTGTCATCATGTTAGGTTAGGTTATAAAATTTAGATCAGATGTAGCAAAAAATTATATAGTGTAATGATTATTGAAGGACTTTGTGGAATATGAGAATTTAGATTCAGGAAGAAATTCTATCTGTTAACACAGTTGTAAATATCATCTCACAAAGACACATCTCCCGTAGACTAGCTTGATCGAGGGCCACATAGAGAGAGAATTATCCGCCCGCGAGAGTGGATTCAAGATGGCGGCTTTCCTGCAGGAGTTATCAGCCTCTCATGCTCTAGACGGGGAAGTGTTTGATCTGCTCATCACCTTCACAGACTTCCTGGCCTTCAAGACTGCCATGTTGGAGATTAAACAGGTAGGAACTGTAACCTCTTGCTTGTTGAAGATTCTGTAATAATTAATATGTTTTACCTTTTATTAGTTTAGGGTCATTGTCTTGCTTAGCTAAATGTACAATGTGCCTGTGTGATATATTTAATAGACATATATTGTATACCTTTGTTTGGAGATATTATAAATGACATTTTATATTTACTTAACATAATACTTTATTAAATAATAAAGTACTGTACTGTACATACATTTGCCTCATATTATCACCGAAGATTGTATTATTGTTTAATAAGTTTGTTGACTTCATTGTGGTCACATGACTTCCAGTGTTGTTGGTTTATTGACTTGGTTCACTCACAGTATGCACTGACACTCTAGCACAGCAGTCATGCCAGGAGCCTTTTAGAAGTACTATCCAGTTGCACGGTGGCTGCCTACATGTTCGGGGAGGCATTGTATTCAGGAATTATCTCAACATTCCAATTCATCTCATGAATCATTAAGCCATAATGGCATCCTTCACATTTTCAGTCCTTCAGACCTGTTCTGTAAAACTGCCAGGTTGGTACACAAGCCAGCAGCTGTTTACCTGGCCAGAGCCCACATTGCCCTGTAGCCTGATGCCTGGCCTGGGAGTACTTTATGGCCAAACAAGTCTTCAGGCTCCAACACCCAAGGTTCCCCGACAATCTTGACTGAAACTAATTTGAAATTTAGTTGATGATCTTGTGACAACCTTTACCCTCATAAAGAAGAGGGTCTGGGAGGCTACAGTTAAGGCTAAGCTGACATTATATTCATCCTGTTTATTTATTTGTATTTTTTTCAGAGTAAAGAAGATGGATCTGCCAAACTAGAGGACTTACTTCAAATAACAAGCCTTAACTCTTAGACCGAATATAAAAATATGAATGAGGATTATATTTTCCCATATATATTACATTGTATTTTATCACTACTTGCATGTTAAACTATGATGTATCAATTCAATAAAATAAATGTCTGTTTACTGATGTATCTGACTATCTGTGACATTGAATTTACACATTTTTCCTTGGTTTAGAACTGTCATCAGATACAACAATAAGGCATAGCATTCTGTGATATTGTAGTGTGTGTGTGTGTGGGGTACTGTCTCTTGTGCTTCACTAATATTTGTCTATGGTCACTCACATGTTATTCCTCCTGCATCTCTGACCACTCTCAGCATTCATTAATTATTATTTGTCATTATAAGGACATGTACAGTTGGGGTCAAAAGTTCACTCCCTCATAAACTGAAGCAGCATCGACCCCTAATGAGATAACACAACCGCACCACATTACAGTCAGGGTAAGTACAGTAAGTTTGGAGACTGATTCCCTCGACTCAGTTTTGCCACGACTGTTCAACACTTTCTTTACATTTGAAGGTCTTTAAGGCAATGTACATGACTCAGTTGATGATACTAAACACAGTGATGACTAATATGTGTGTGACTGGTGGTGATAATGAACAGCATTGGACTAATACAGTACATATGAGGAACACAGTAGGACAAGCACCAGTATGCCCCCAAACAACATGTATGATATCTTTCACAATTATCAATTAAATCTTCAATAACAATGAAACAATCTGACACTTGAATCACTTTAATCATTAGTTCCAAAGTTATGGTAATTTGAAAGTTTGTAAAGTTTAACTACATTTTTATATGTTTTTCATTTACAGCACTCGTCCTACTATGGTTCTGTGCACTTCATATATAAGTTAGTAAAAAATGTAAGATTTATTCAACATGGATTCCACTATCTGTTCTCTCTAGTCTGATATTCATTTATGTGTTAATATTTTGATGATGTGTTTGTGAGTTTTTCAGCAGTAGATCCGAGACTTAATATTCTAAAGAGTATTTGTGGACGTCTTATACAGAACATTAAAGCGCTTAAAAAAAATTATAACCTGGGATGAAAGCTCATATGTGCTATTGTAATTACACATTAGTAAAAAAAAAAGGAAAATGATGTAAAAACCAGTGTACAGTACAGTATATCTCTGTTTATATCTTGCAGGATACAGTGAAAGGGTTCAACATAATGTAGATAATATTATATAAACAAAAGAATATATAAAACTTAATGTGGGCCAAAAATAGTTCATTGTTGTGACTCCTAATGTGATATTTTTGAGAAACATATCAGTCCCAGACCTCCATAAAATATCATGGTGTGGAACAACTTACCCCCACCCATCCCAGCAAAGACTACGCTCCCTTCCTTTAAATCATCTCTTAAAAAATATCTATTGTCGAAGGGTTAATATTTCTTGTAACACTTACTATATTTACAGTACCTGCTTTTATTGTACCATCAAAACTGTTTTATCGGAAATTATCATGTATTGTAAATAAATAAGTAATTACCATTGCAATAAACGTAATTGCCAATTAGACATAATCCTGAAAGCTCTGTCCTCTTGTTCAACCTTATTACTGTACAACCCAGGTTGCCCCCATTATACTTATGTTTTTCAATTCCACTGTAATTTATATGTGTATGTATGTGTGTGTTTATGTATATACAGTATATGTATATATATGTATATATGTATATGTATGTGTATATGTATGTATATATAAAAATAAATAAATAAATAAATAAAAAATAAAAATAATAAATAAATAAAATAAATATTGAAGTGATAACCGTGGTAACACTATGAGATGTACTTATTACCACCATGCTATTGTACTATTCCAGATGATACCAAATGTTACATAATACTTCCTTGAGATAAATGTATAGTTTATATCAGGTGCCTCAAAGAGAGCTCAGGTTCTCAACTGGCTCAGTCATGTTAATATTGTTATTATTATCCACTCTGTATCTGTATTTTTCTGGCTAAATAAACTGTTTCAATTCAATTCAAGGAATCAATATTATAGACAGTCATTTGTAAGCTGAGGTAAATTTAGTATAATAAGTAAGTATTGTATAAGATTCTCTGACCTGACACTTTGTTTGACTGTATTAATTCATTTCTAATCATGTTTCAGATATTATACTGTATTATTGGTCATCCTCTCAATGGTCTTCATGCACAGAGTGAAAATTAAAGTTGATAACTGGGGAAAGAAGTTGTGTGTTTTCCTTTGTTTTGATGCACACACACACACACGGTGGACTCTTTATTTGTTGAAGTCTTTAGCTGTCGTAATCACATTATCTTTTACTCTCAAGGCAACAGAGCGATTATATGTCTCCGATTATATGTCTCTCAGGTGTAATGTGTACTCTGTTGTGTGTGTGCTCTATCACTCCAGAGAGCCAACTGGTCATCTATCACTTAACCCTACGATGATAATGGTTGAAACTCTTATCCTCAAAGGGTTAAACCATTGTCATCAAATTATTAAGGTGTTGTACTGGCTGTTAGATTAGCTACAGTAATCTCAACTCTTGGGTACTGGGGCTCTCTCTGTCTGTCTGTCCTACTTGACTCTCTCGGTCTGTCTGTTCCACTTTTGTAATATATTCACTCATGTCTGTCTAGGTCAGCAGTGTCAAACTCAAAACCTTTCGAGGGCCAATTCTTATTTTAGTTACCCTCTTCAGGGCCAACACAAGTGCTATATCACATATTTGCAGGATTGAAGTTTACAGCTTCACACATTGCCTTACCTGGCCTACCAGGAATAACTCATTTGGGTTTGTCTGATCTTAAGTACCGTATGTCAAATTATTTTACTTAATAAACATGATTAACGCAAATAATAGGATAGCAAAAGGCATGTACTGTATATGCATTATTTGCGGCTACAATTTATTATAGAATTCCATTTGTGTTTTGAAACTTAAGAGCTTAATATATATTCAATTATTGCCACAATGATGTAAAGATCATTTCGGAATTTACTGCCTCAATTATATCAGCATTTTTTTCCTTCATATTTATTTCTATCAAATTTCTCGGGCTGATAAATTTTACCGTCATCCCGCGGACCACACCTGACCATTCAAAGGGTCACATTTGGCCAGCGGGTCATGAGTTTGACACCTCTCTAGGTATTGGTTTAGCATTATTTTTGTCTTTTAAGATGTAATTAATTGGAGTTAAGGTCAGAATCTTTTCTCTATTGGTTTAAAAATGTCCCCCGGTATTTTTGAGTGTCAGATTACCCACGTCAATCTTTCTGGGGTGTTGGTAATTTTATTATTATTGTTTCTGTTTTACTCATCCATCTATAACCTTCCTCCTCTTCCAATTTTGTGTGAGGTTTGATGAGGAGAAAGAGAAACCTCTAAAAGAATATGATATTGTAGGTTAGAGTTGTGTAAGTTTACTCAGTAAGTGCAGAGAGTGACGGAAAAAGTGGTCTCGCACGACAAATAGAAACTCTCACATATGACTCGTGTTTTTGGTCATATCCTCGACTTGGACAGAAAATATAACGAGTAAGTTATTTATCTCGACGTTGATCAAAATACTTCATATAAATTTGCTGTGTTAACTATTCCGAAACATCAAGTTTGTTCATGGTAATGCTATCAGCCTGTAACCTAGGAAACATCTCCAGTGTACTCAGGTCTCTTACACTCGTGTGGTAATAATCTAATATTTACTGAGGTCATTAATTCTCCAGGTTTATTTAATGTTTTCACGTAGCTCTTCTCAGTATTGGACTGATTATCTTTTACACTAGGACTCTTAAATGACTTACTTCAGTCATTGTTGATGGGAGGTCTTTGGTGAAGATGATATGTTGTTGATACACTAAAAGCCATATCATCTACTGTTTTTCATTTAAGATTTTGAGTTAACTATTTCAGATCTTGGAAGCCACTGAATATTTTATTTAGTCATTGTCAGCTCTCACTATCCCTGACACTTACAGCCTTACGACTAGTTTTATTTCAACTTAGTAATTCCGAGTGAATCTGACACTAAGAGAAATTCCCTGCCACACCATCAGCCACACTAGTAATGATACTTAACTGTATAGTACTGTATGAATTGCTGTTTGTATTGATGTTGTTAACTTATAACACTTATATTTTGTATATTGTTGTTGATTTGTACCTGAACTGTATTTAGAGTCATATAAAATGATTGAAAATTTATTGGTATTTTATTAATCTGTTTATATACACAGTCCGGTGATGGTACTGTAGAGTGAATAAGGAAGCCACTACAGTAAATATACATAGTGATGGTACTGTAGTGTGAATAAGGAAGCCACTACAGTAAATATACATAGTGATGGTATTGTAGTGTGAATAAGGAAGCCACTACAGTAAATATACATAGTGATGGTACTGTAGAGTGAATAAGGAAGCCACTACAGTAAATATACATAGTGATGGTATTGTAGTGTGAATAAGGAAGCCACTACAGTAAATATACATAGTGATGGTATTGTAGTGTGAATAAGGAAGCCACTACAGTAAATATACATAGTGATGGTACTGTAGTGTGAATAAGGAAGCCACTACAGTAAATATACATAGTGATGGTACTGTAGTGTGAATAAGGAAGCCACTACAGTAAATATACATAGTGATGGTACTGTAGTGAATAAGGAAGCCTACAGTAAATATACATAGTGATGGTACTGTAGTGTGAATAAGGAAGCCACTACAGTAAATATACATAGTGATGGTACTGTAGTGTGAATAAGGAAGCCACTACAGTAAATATACATAGTGATGGTACTGTAGTGTGAATAAGGAAGCCACTACAGTAAATATACATAGTGATGGTACTGTAGAGTGAATAAGGAAGCCACTACAGTAAATATACATAGTGATGGTACTGTAGAGTGAATAAGGAAGCCACTACAGTAAATATACATAGTGATGGTACTGTAGAGTGAATAAGGAACCCACTACAGTAAATATACATAGTGATGGTACTGTAGAGTGAATAAGGAAGCCACTACAGTAAATATACATAGTGATGGTACTGTAGTGTGAATAAGGAAGCCACTACAGTAAATATACATAGTGATGGTACTGTAGAGTGAATAAGGAAGCCACTACAGTAAATATACATAGTGATGGTACTGTAGTGTGAATAAGGAAGCCACTACAGTAAATATACATAGTGATGGTACTGTAGTGTGAATAAGGAAGCCACTACAGTAAATATACATAGTGATGTAGTGTGAATAAGGAAGCCACTACAGTAAATATACATAGTGATGGTACTGTAGTGTGAATAAGGAAGCCACTACAGTAAATATACATAGTGATGGTACTGTAGTGTGAATAAGGAAGCCACTACAGTAAATATACATAGTGATGGTACTGTAGAGTGAATAAGGAAGCCACTACAGTAAATATACATAATGACAACTGATTTTTTTTTTCATTGTTTATGCAACGTGAAGACTGATTGATGTGTAACCAGTAAATACGGTTGTCATATACAGAGGTAAGGTTGTTAGGTTAGGTTAGGTTAAGTTAGCAGCCACTGTAGTGTATGTGGTGATGCAGGTGTCCCCACCCCTTGTTTACGCCCCACATAAACAGGAGAGGCTCTTGGCTACTCTTCCCGTCATAACATATTGGTCGCGGTTATCCCTCAACACTGTTTGTTTACACACCTGGCTGGTTGTCTATGTTACACACCAGAAGTATCTTGTTTGTTTGTTTGGTTCTCGTTATGTCAACATTGTGAGATACTCAGACTTAATTTACACCATTTTGTAAATTGATGTAAGGAATAAACTTGTGGTAGTTTGATACGAACTGCACAATAAGTTAAATTATCTATCACCTAGCGTTCACGATTAGCTTTAATTTTTATTCATAAACAACGTTGATATACTATAGAGGTTAGTTAGAACGTGCTGGAGCATTATAGGAGCTACACACACACACACACTCTTACACACACTCTTACACACACTCTCACACACACACACACACACATATATATATATATGGAACTGGAAGGTAACGTTCATGGCAGGTGTACAGTACATTCACATACGTAACACAAGAGAAACACTCGAGTGTTAATTTCTTCTCATGTGACGTGGCTCAGTAAGAGTGGTAGGCCACTGTGGTGGTGTTCGAGGGCCGTATGATCTTGTTGGAGTGTTACTAGGGTGGCCTCGAGAAGGGACGCTCCTACACTGAGTGACACTTGAGGCAGGGTACCACCAGCGTGTACTGTACTTGGCAGTCATCTTCCGTGCTGAAAATATTCCTGTTGTGGTGCAGATAAATTTCAATTGAAGACTCATATTACAATATAATAAATATCTCAATAAAACTGACTTTATTATTATTAATATTATCAATACTATCAGCGTACAATTTCCTTTGGTATGTACAGTAAACATTTGGTAAGTCCGAGGTCGTTGTAGATATTGAAAAACTGTTTTTGTTCATTATTTCACAGATTCATTATTTTTAGTTAGGTAATAGAGGACTGTATGTAACCTTGGGCACCCCCCTAGATCACGTGACATGCGAGGAAGCAGAGGTCAGGTGGGTGGTGGTGGGTCAGGTGGGTGGCGGTGGGTCAGGTGGGTGGCGGTGGGTGGTGGTGTGGTGGGTGGCGGTGGGTGTGGGTGGGTCAGGTGGGTGGGGGTGGGTCAGGTGGGTGGCGGTGGGTCAGGTGGGTGGCGGTGGGTGGGGGTGGGTCAGGTGGGTGGGGGTGGGTCAGGGGTGGTGTGGGTCGGTGGTGTGGTGGGTCCAGGTGGGTGGTGGTGGGTCAGGTGGGTGGCGGTGGGTCAGGTGGGTGGTGGTGGGTCAGGTGGGTGGTGGTGGGTCAGGTGGGTGGGTGGGTCAGGTGGGTGGCGGTGGGTCCGGTGGTGGGGGGTGGTCAGGTGGGTGGTGGTGGGTCAGGTGGGTGGTGGTGGGTCAGGTGGTGGGTCAGGTGGGTGGTGGTGGGTCAGGTGGGTGGCGGTGGGTGGGGTGGGTCAGGTGGGTGGTGGTGGGTCAGGTGGGTGGTGGTGACGAGATAAACAAACCGCGTGTTTATCAATATGTTGGCTAGGATGGCGGCGGCGTGACGTCATCCACCATACTGCGGCAAGAACTCAGATACGTCTTTGTTTATTTTATTAATGCTATAATTAAACCCCAAAGCAGAGGAATATTTTATTTAATAGGAAATACTTGGAAATAAAAACAGACGTGGAGGGAAGAGAGTATCAAGGAGGAAACAGCTGGGGATAAAGGGTAACTCTCTAAATATTTCAGCTCACTGGACTTCACTGTAGTTAAGAGAATCACGTGACCAACTCTTTATATAATTTAATCTCACATTGATTTTTTTTAACCTCAGTTGCCTTGGCCACTGAGGTCTTGTCAATAGAAAAACTAATCAGATAAGTAGGCCTATAAATAGTAAACAATACCATAGGCTGTTTTTGGTTGAATGGAACTATTTTTTACGACTCTGGTGTAAATTTAATTCCATGTTGTTTTAAATACTTGTGGATGTATTTTTGTTGTAGATTTAAGTAATTTAGCTACCCAGGGGTAATCAATATCAAGTATCTTTAATTTTAAAAAGAGACAACAAAGAACTTAGAGAAATTAACACCGCGATAAATAAAGCCTAGGATTCTTTACATAACTCACTGAGAACTGCATCAACATACTGAACGTCTTATATTACCGTGTGTTCCCGAGGTCACCAATGGGATAGTTGTTATAAGGGGTTACTAAGATAGCGATGAGGTTCTGTGGGCCCCAGTGACGCCGACCAGTCCAGCACCACGTCCTTGGGTTCACCACACACTCCTTCGGTAAATTTATCTTCTGATTAAATGATAAGAAATGGTAGATGGTAAGGGTGGTAGACAGTGGTAAGGGTGGTAGACAGTGGTAAGGGTGGACGAGACAAGGCTATAGGTTACAACACAGTCCGGGAAGTGTTGAGAAATAACTCCTTCACGGAAAATACAGACGATGATGCAAGGGGACAAGCTGATACATCGGTAAGAGAGAATGATATAAAAAATAAGTAAATTCATCCCCAAGTTTCAAGATAAAGAGGAAATGTTGGTTAAGTTTTTAATTTATGGCAGAAAAAGACAAAGATAAGATAATTTTATCACCTGTGACTCGTCTGTTAAGCAGCAGATAGTGAGACATAGATGGCTAGGAGCACTGCCTCCCGCGCCACCGTCAGGGAGAATACCAGAAAAAGAATTGAGGAATTAAAACAGGTTTGTAGGAGCACTGACGAGCGACCTGTTAGGGGATGTTGGTGGGGGAGAGGGGGGGTTACTAACAGCAGGAGGAGGAGAGGGTGGGTAGGGGGTTGGGGGGAGGAGGAGGGGGTGGAGGGGGGAGGTACACCAGAAGTCATTTTCCCCACGTCTCTCCACCTACACTATACAGGGTGAGCATAAAGTCTTTCCCTGATTACAAACATTTATTACACACAACATATGCTAGGTACAAACATACAGTTTTTTGCAGCTTATACCTTATCTCAAGAAGTTTTTTTCCGTTACTCGTGAACTTCAACCTGTGTGCTCCGTTTGTTGCCTGGAGCACATCTAAGCGATACTCGATTTCACGCCATGTTTTCTGCAGCATCTCTTCAGTCACCGTCGCTATTGCCTCCTTGCCTTCAGAGTTTCAAGATCAGGAACTGGTGAACTGTACACTTTGTCCTTCGTTTACCCACATAAAAATAAATCATGAGGGGTAATGTCTGGTGGATGAGGCGGCCATGGTGTTGGACCATCTCTCCCAACCCATCGGTTTGGAAAGGTTGGGTTCAAGAACTGTCTGTAAAATATGCATGAAAAAAAATCTATGAATTCGTCTACACAATGCTACAACATTCATGTTTCTATCTAGAATGGTCTTCGAGATATGATTTTTCATAATCAGGGAAAGACTTTATGCTTACCCTGTAGTACCTGTTGTGAAGGCAAGTGAAAGCAAAACATAACCACTTCTTTACGTCGACCAGAGAGGCAGCTAAGCTTAGAGCCTCGAGTTATACAAACCGTAAACACCGCGTCAGCCAGCACTCGTGAAACTCTTGATAAGTCTGAAACAGCAACACGTCGAGTAATAAGGCCGTTTATTCGACTCCAGGTACACGACGGTCGATCACCTGTACCTCTGTTGATACCTTACGTTGTGTGTCGGGTTCTAGGTAATAGGTTTAATTATTCATGTAAACTGACACCAACTTTCACCTTTATGGTCTAGAAATGCGCTTATGTAAACAACACACAAGGAGAAACAATAGAGTGGTCAGTGTCAGGCAATGAGTATCCGGATGTAGGCAGCTCATATATCCGTGTTGTGTGTTATATGAACGGAAATAACATGTACAGAGGTCATCATGGTCTGTGTGGGTCAGCGAGCCAGTCACCACCCACAACAGAAGCGCACACACACACACTCGCTGCCCTGCTGGTCACTGAGGGAAAATTCTCACTGAGGTTTTCCTATCGTTTATAAAATACAAAGCAGACGTCTTCAATACACCGTGACTGTAATTCCCTGTAATAATGAAAAATTTAATCCCACTGAAGAGAATTTCTGTTCCGTTATAAATTTTTTGGGGATAATTAAGTTTTGATGGTAAATTATACATAACTCATCTGACCTTAGAAACCAACGATAAAAAAATAATCTCAGTGTTGTGTTTAAATCCGAAATTCACAAAAATAATGAAGATTGATTACGCTATATGAAAAGGAAAGACAAAAAGAACTGGATTTGTATGTAATGAAAAGAACCATATATATGTGGTCTGTTAGCAGGATGGGAAGGAGGCTGTGGTTGTGGTGTGCAGGAGGTAAGGTGATGCCGTTCCTTCTCCTACTCCTCCTCCTCCAGGCCCCCAGTTCCACCACCTTCAAGTTCAAGGTCGGCCAATGTCGCGCTTTCCCTGTCGTCAGTAACTTCAGACCAGATCAGGTAAATGGTTGTTTTTTTTTTCTCTCATTTTGAAAAGTACAGGAGAGTTAGTGATTCCTGCTATGTTTGTGATGACGATGATTAACCCTTTGATGACGATGATTTAACCCTTTGATGACGATGATTTAACCCTTTGATGACGATGATTTAACCCTTTGATGACGATGATTTAACCCTTTGATGACGATGATTTAACCCTTTGATGACGATGATTTAACTCCTTGATGATGATGATTTAATCCTTTGATGACGATGATTTAACCCTTTGATGACGATGATTTAACCCTTTGATGACGATGATTTAACCCTTTAATGACGATGATTTAACCCTTTGATGACGTTGATTTAACCCTTTGATGACGATGATTTAACCCTTTGATGACGATGATTTAACCCTTTGACGACGATGATTTAACCCTTTGATGACGTTGATTTAACCCTTTGACGACGATGATTTAACCCTTTGATGACGATGATTTAACCCTTTGATGATGGTGATTTAAGGCGTCATCTCGGAGGCTCTGAGGTGACGTGATACTACCACAACACTACCACAACACCACCGCTACACCACACACTACCACACACAGCACACACCACCACTCACTACCACCACTACATTATCACTACCACACACCACCACCATCACACTACTACCACACCATCGCCACCACACACCATTACCACCACACACCACCACCACACTACCACACTACTACCATCGTGTACTAAAGGTTACTACCACCACCACACAGTTCGCTGGGGTGTGGTATGTGGTTCAGATGACCAACACTGCTGCTAGCTGTTACTCCCTCACCTTCACACAAGGCCCAGGTGACGGTATCTCCTCTGTTGACTTCAGGTGAGAGAAATTGTCGTAGTTTGGTAACCCACTTGTCGTAGTTGGTATTTAGCTGTATGTGTTATCTAAGTTCATGTGGGTGTTTGTGTAATAATGTGCTTGTGTATGTATGTCAGTAAGCGGATATAGGTTCATGTAAGTGTATATACGAGTGTGTGTGTGTGTGTGTGTGTGTGTGTGTGTGTGTATGATGTATGTATATATATAACTAACCTAACCTAACCTCTGCTTATTTCAACCTTAACTTGACACTATATAATTTTTTTTTAATTATTCATTTATTTATATATTATTTCAAGTCTCCTTTAGCTAAAATAAACCTCAAGGTACAAGATTTACCAATAAAAGTTCACTGACTCTACAGGTGACAGAAGCTAAGGTGTTGGTGCCAAGATGTGTTAGGTCACCCTGTAATAGTGCCAAACTCTCCAGCAGGCACAAGGTCACCCTCCCTCACTAGAGCCAGGCACAGATACTGACACACATCACCGATACTGTACCCTGGAGACACGTTATTTTATATTTTTTTAAGATCAACTGAAGATTCATCCCCCTAGTTTATTTTACCATACCGCTAACCTAACCTAACCTACGCTAACCTAATCTAATGCTACCTTAACCTAACTTAACCTACGCTAACCTAACCTAACCTACGCTAACCTAATCTAATGTTACCTAAACCTAACTTAACCTACGCTAACCTAACTTAACCTACGCTAACCTAACCTAACCTTCATCCTGATAGCTTTGGGGTCAAATAAGCTGAAGTGGCAAGTCTTCAGGTCACCAATTATAATTATTTTTTCATACCAACTGATCGAGTTTATTTGTACTTCCTAAGTTGTTTCAGTTTCAGGCCATTGTTATGAACCAAATATGGATTATGTTCTAAATTTGATGCTAAAAAAAATGGTTTAGGTGAGATTAGATTCTGAAAATAGCATCCAATCTCGTTGCAAATCCCAATGTCAGTCCTCAAAATATAGAACACCTCCATCCTCGCTCCTCACACACAAAACAACACTACTGTACATTCCTTCGCAGCCAAAATATCTAATACAGTATACTATAGGACCAGGCGTGTGTCTGTTCTGGGCAGCCGAAAAGGCGCAATTGTTTTTCATCAAACTTGGTGGAAAAATCCCCAAATATTCGTAGAGTGGAACAAACTTGGTCCCATGCCGATGGTTTCTTTACGAAGGCATTAGTTAACAATTTTATTTACGATGGAAAACGATGCAAGTCTACGGACTTGGCGCACCATCATTCGCTGTAAGCTGTCACGAGCGTTCAAACTCTCACAAGGGCACGAACGTGCCCGCGATCACTTGTACTAGGCTATAGACCCAGCTGTTCGCCTCTACCACACAAACTAATTAATTCAGAGATAAAATTCACATACTATACGTAGATTTGAAGATGCTTAATACAGTGTAGAGCAATAGATAGCCACTTGACCCACTAGTTTTTATGTTGAGAGGATGTGTTGTGACAGCGCCATCAACTTCTCCGTCCCCGCTTTGTTGACGACTGTGAACACTCAACGTGACCTTCACCTCTACCCCGTCACGTTTACCAGGATGGACAAACCGCTCCCTCCTGTTTCCACGTATACAATTAATTATTCCTTTTACCTGTTTCTGTTTTCTCTATGTACCCTGACAGATATAATGTTGTACAGTAGTGTGGTGGGATACGAGTGAGAGAGGAGAGGGGGGGGGAGGTAGGGAGCGGATGGTAGGAGAGGAGAGGCCGAGGAAGGGTGAGGGGGAGAGGGAAGGGAGGGAAGGGGGGGATTTAGGCCAGGGTCGTATATTGAACTTTTGGTCGTGCTATTATCACTATGTGGGTCGTGGTGACGGTGTAGCGATAGTGACATCAGACACACACACACGCACACACACGTATCCATCAATCCATCTATCTTATATCTCTCACTCGATCCATCTCTACCCTCGTCTCCAACTATCCTTCTCTCTCTACCCATCTATTCATCTTTCTATATACCCCTTTTCCTATCCATCAATCCACTAATCTAACCATTAATCCACTAATCTATCCATCAATCCACTAATATACCCATTTATCCACTTCTATCCACTAATCTATCCATCAATCCACTAATCTATCCATCTATCCACTAATCTATCCATCTATCCACTAATCTATCCACTTATCTATCCATCTATCCAGGAAGCAGATATGGGGTCTAAACGCGGCCGGGATTCACAACACTGTCACCTTCACAGCCCCGACCCACAGCATCGACCACGGCGGGGCTCATATGGCCATGGCCCTCCCTACTGGTGAGTGAGGCTTCGAACTGGTGAATGAGGCTTCGAACTGGTGATTGAGGCTTCGAATTGGTGATTGAGGCTTCGAATTGGTGATTGGGGCTTAGAACTGGTGAATTAGACTTCGAACTGGTGATTGAGGCTTCGAATTGGTGATTGATGCTTAGAACTGGTGAATGAGGCTTCGAACTGGTGAGTGAGGCTTCGAACTGGTGAATTAGGCTTCGAACTGTTGAATGAGGCTTCGAATTGGTGATTGGGGCTTAGAACTGGTGAATTAGACTTCGAACTGGTGATTGAGGCTTAGAACTGGTGATTGAGGCTTCGAATTGGTGATTGATGCTTAGAACTGGTGATTGAGGGTCTGTACTGGTGAGTCATTTTTTTTATATAATAAAGACTTAAAATACTATCCTTATTTTTTATCTCACTGTTAAGTGTTGTAAATGAGACAGGTGTAGGTGTGTCAGGTGTGGTACAGGTGTAGGTGTGTCAGGTGTAGTGTAGGTGTGTCAGGTGTGGTGTCGGTGTGTCAGGTGTGGTGTCGGTGTGTCAGGTGTGGTGTCGGTGTGTCAGGTGTGGTGTCGGTGTGTCAGGTGTGGTGTCGGTGTGTCAGGTGTGGTACAGGTGTGTTTATATTACAGAGGCGTGGGGGTGGGTGGGCGTGCAGGTGGTGGACACGGACTACCAGGAGTGGGCGGCGCTGTGGGCGTGCAAGAAGACACTGTTTGGTCACCTGGAGGCGGCCATCATCCTCAGCCGCGACACCTTCCTCCCTCCACAGGTGAGTGTTGTGCTGTTAACCTAACCCAACCCAACCCAACCTAACCTAACCTAACCAAACCTAACCTAACCCAACCTAACCTAACCCAACCCAACCCAACCTAATCCAATCCAACCCAACCTAACCCAACCTAACCTAACTTAACCAGGGATTTATTATGTCATTTATAAGAAATGAAAGAAGTGAGTAATGAAAGAAGGGTTGAAAAATAAGCTTCACTGACACTAACGTTTAAACATGTGATAAATTTCGAAACAGGTCAACTTATACATATGAATTCTTTACAGGTAGGGGGAAGACTTGGGTACACAATGTATGTTTCTTGTGTGTGTATATAATGTATGAATATATTGGTGGTGTTGACAGAGGTTGTGGGAGGTGAGGGTGATGATGGCTGGAGCTGGGAGTGACCTAGAGGACCTGTCGACCATCCAACATACACATTGTCTCACTACCCAAGGTAAGACGTACACCTCGGCTTAGGGTTCATTGTTGAGGTTTGAGTGACCCCGTGTGGGAGGCTGTCATGGTGGGGGGTACATGAGTGACCCCGTGTGGGAGGCTGTCATGGTGGGGGGTACATGAGTGACCCCGTGTGGGAGGCTGTCATGGTGGGGAGTACATAACCTTTCAACTGTTTCTGATCGAAGTTCGATTTTGTAACTACCGAAGCTCTATCGGGCCAACCCAACTTTCCTGTTATCACCAGCCGTTCAAGGTTAAACACGCGGGGCCATAACACACCTTAACAACATCTCTTAGGTACTCTTGCCATATCCAACTTGTTGATAAACATAACTGGGTGTTTGTGGCTGCCATACAGACTGGGTAATGATCTAGTGTGTTAAGTGAAGTCGTCAGCTGTTGGTTTGTCTGAGTTAGGCTGGCGGGTAAACAGTGTGTACGTGGGGGAGAGAAATTCCAGTGGCTGGGACTATTGATGGTTAATTTGTTATACGTTTATGAAATGAATCACAACACAACCTTGATGGCGCTGCTGCTGATACCAATAAATCATATTACACAACTTGTATTTGTGCTGAGGTCGTATGAAGTTAGCTAAGGACCTCTCAGCTGGGTAGGTCACTCAGCCCGTGATGGTGTTATGACTCTTCAACACAGATTAACTTTTAGTGTTGTGTTAAGGTTGTGGCTGGGTCAAGTAACTCCCAGCCAGGTATATGACTCTACCTCCACAACAGGTCTGTCTTACCTGTGGACTCCCTCGTGTACACACCCGCGTCAGTGTCAGGTAGAGGGTGTAGGGTAAATCGTCTCTATACACTGGTTGGCGTCACTGGGTGTAACAGCTGTTTCAACTCAACGATCCATCATCAGTCTTCACCCCCAGCTGCCCTCATTTGTATCTTGTCATCCAGATGTAAACATTATGGCTGTCTACTTCTTGTTTTTTATTCATTCCAACACGATTCACCTGAGTGTTACACCTTTAGTTTTGGTTCTGAGTGTCTCGAAGTTTGGTAGACATGTATAGGCAATCCAAAAAAGTATCTAGACTGCACGTGTCCGATAGAATATGAACACAACACAACACAACACAACACAACACAACACAACACAACACAGCACAGCACAACACAGCACAACACAACACAACACAACCAGTACATGAACTCGTAGAGATTATCGCTCATTTTCTGTTCCATCGATTCCTGGGGTCCCGATATTTTTTGTGACTGGTTGTCCCTTCATATAGTTTGTGTTGAATAAATTATATGTTTTTCTTTAAGCACATATTTTCATAATAATTTTACAGAGTTAAAGATAAATGTCAGATAAATATTTTGAGCTGTACATTTCTCATATTATCACGTCAGCTTGTTCAGTAGATACTTTGACATTTCTTCTCCAAGTCTAAGAAAAAGGCAGAAAATACAGTCATATATTACTAACCAGGATGTTGTTGTGTGTGTGTGTGTGTGTGTGTGGTAATATTTTCCAGAGTAATTTCCCGGTAATTCTTAAAGTTCTCTTCCTGTAAGACACTAAAGAAGGATGAACGATAACAGACCTCGTTTATAGCCAGTTTAGTGTCTGAAATGAAAGTCTATATATATGGTAATGTTTTACAGGTGTACTGAGGAACGACAACACACCCGGGCGGGGGGGGGGGGGCGTTACAGACTGATTGCTTCACACACACACACACACACACACACCAGAATATATTAACTCTCAAGATGCTTATTTAGTGTTGCATCCTGGCATCCTTGCAATGATATTTTTTATTATTAATGTTTGCTTGTTTATGTTGCAGGAGGGAGGAAGATGACTATAGAGTTCGATCCTAATCTGGACAAGCCAAACGTCCACTTCCAATCGTTGTTTACCTCCAGTGGGGCCGTCGACAGTGGTGACATAAACAACAACAGTACAGAAGTAGGCGGTACACGGAGACCTAGACCTTGTGTGGATGAACTGGACGACTACTACTACTACTACGAAGACTGTCCTGATGACGTGAGTAACCCCATATACACCACCCTGGAGGAGTTCGAAAATGACAACAACAGTGACGACTCATCTACCACCGACGACAACAACAGCGGTACCTCAGCGGGCGACGGAGGCAGCGACCCTTGTTATACTGTAGAGGACGATTACTGGGAGTACAAGACTGACTGTCCAACTGATGCTGAGTACATACTATCTCTTGACGAATATGATGAACTCTATCCTGATGACGAAGGAGAAGGAGGAGACGATGAAGAAGAAGGAAAAGGAGAAGAAGAAAAAGATAATGATACCTCCAAGTTCGACGGCCGTTCCTGTGTAGTTGACGACGGGGAGGAATACATTCTGTACGATGAGTGTCCCGAAGACGTGAACACAGCCCAGCTACCCGAGGACTTCTACTCAGACACCGACTTCACCGACACTCCCTGCTACATCTACGAGGAGGGAGAATACCTGTACTATGACACCTGCCCTGATGACGCCTCAGCACCCATACCTGTCGAGTTCTTTGACGACTACGGCGAGACGCGGAGGTCGTTAATTACTACACAGGTAGGTAGAGGGGTGAGAAAAGTTGATAAAGATAGTGATAAGAAGAAAGAACGAGAAGAGAAAAGAGAAGGAACATCAAAAGAGAAAGAATTTAAGAAAGAGAATAAGGGGAATGAAAGAGATGGAAATATGATAAACAAAAAAGATAGCAAAGGTACAAAGAATAATAATAAGAAAGTAAGAGAAAGAAAGATGAGGGAAAATGCCAAAGAAAATGGAATTAGAGAAACAAAGGATAAAAAAGAGAAACACGGGGAAACAAAACACAAAAACGACATAATTAATGAAAACAGCAAAGAAAAACAAGACGATAACCAAAACAAAAGAAAAGGACAAATAAAAAACAAAACAGATAAAGATGATAATAAGAAACACGAAGGAAGAGGAGGAGGAAAAATGAAGGAAAGTGAGAGAAAGAAGGAGAAGAAGAAGATGACGAAGCTGAAAAAGAAGATGCTGAAGAAGAAGAAGAAGAATAAGAAGAAGGAGAAGAAGAGGATGACAAAGAAGATGAAGAAGAAGACGCTGAAGAAAAAGATGATAAAGAAGAAGAAGAAGAAGAAGAATATGAAGAAGAAGGAGAAGAAGAGGATGACAAAGAAGATGAAGAAGACGATAAAGAAGATGAAGAAGCAAATAAAGGAAGAGAGAAAGGAAGAAGAGGAGAAGGGAACAAAGAAGAAGAAAGAAATAGAGAATAAGAATAAAGGAAACTTAATAAAGGAAGGAACACTAGAGAGTACAAGGAAAGAAGGAATACAGAAGGCAACGAAGGAAGGAACAATGGAGAAAAGGCAAAAATTGGATCAGAGGGAAGAGAAAGAAGAGAAGAAGGAAGTGAAGAAGAAAGTGAAAATAAAGAAGAAAGAAGAGAAGAAAGTGAAAATAAAGAAGAAAGAAGAGAAGAAAGAAGAGAAGAAAGAAGAGAAGAAAGAAGAGAATGTGTAATCCAGTCTGTGTAATCCTCTGTTGATGTTTACAAATAAAATCACCTATGTTACGTTTGCCTCAGCATGTTTCCTCACCTCTCACTTCATCTCCTTCTCCCCCCCTCCTTCTACCCCCTCCTCCTTCTACCCCTCCTCCTTCTACCCCCTCCTCTACCCTCCTCCTTCTCACCCCCTCCTTCACCCCCCCCTCCTCCCTCCTTCACCCCCCTCCTTCTACCCCCCTCCTCCTTCACCCTCCTTCTACCCCCCCCTCCTCCTTCTACCCCTCCTTCTACCCCCCTCCTCCTTCTACCCCCTCCCTTTCCTACCCCCTCCCCCACCCCCTCCTTCTACCCTCCTCCCCTCCTTCTACCCCCCTCCTACCCCACCCACCCCCCTTCCTCCTCCTTCTTTCACCACTTCACCTTATACTTCATTACTGTTTATATTATTTATACCAAAGTAAATAATTGTCTAGGATCTTTAACCAAACCCATCCCAACCAATCTAAACCAAACCCACCTAACTCCAACTAAACCTAACCTAACCCAACTCAACCTAACCTAACCCAACCCACCTAACCTAACCAAACCTAACTTAACCTAACCTAACCTAACCTAACCTAACCCTACGTTATTCTGAGAGCCTGAATGTTAAACTTTGTAAACATGACATAAATATTCTCTATTACATAACCTTGATTTAGTGTTGGGAATGAACGGAGGTTGTAACTATTGTGTTAAAGGGGTGAGACTAAATCCAGTTCATATAAATAATAACTTGAAAATATTATATAAACCTCTATAATTGTCTCCTAAATGGTGTTAAATAAATGTTTGTAGTTAGTGAAAAGTTTTAATATAATTTTGATGTTAAATTACTGATGTTTTTCGAGTGTTTTATCGCAAGACAAACAGATACATCATTACTCATCAGCTGCGAGGACTGTTCACCAATACCAACTCTATAGGATCTTCAAGAGTCCTATTCAGAGTCTTAGGGCGTACCTGACCGTCAAGAGTCCTGTTCAGAGTCTTAGGGCGTACTCATGACCGTCAAGAGTCTTACGCTCATGACCGTCAAGAGTCTTAGGACGTACTCATGACCGTCAAGAGTTCTTGTCTAAAGTTTGGACGTACCTATGACCGTCAAGAGTCTTAGGACGTACTCATGACCGTCAAGAGTCCAGGGACGTACTCATGACCGTCAAGAGTCTTAGACGTACCATGACCGTCAAGAGTCCTGTTCAGAGTCTTAGACCGTACTCGTGACCGCCAAGAGCCTTGTTGACCGTACTGTGTTGAAACAATGCAGGGAGTGACGTCATTGAACATGGGTTGACGTGTGGTTTTTGCCGGACCTTCATTCTGCGCCTGACGTCACCACACAGCGAGGCATAGTGTTGGTTGGGTGTTGGTGGTGTTGGTTGGATGTTGGTTGGGTGTTGGTTGGGTGTTGGTTGGATGTTGGTTGGATGCTGGGTGTTGCTGGGTGTTGGTTGGGTGTTGGTTGGATGTTGGTTGGGTGTTGGCTGGGTGTTGGTTATGTTGGTTGGGTGTTGGTTGCGTTGGTTGCGTTGGCTGTGTTGGCTTGGGTGTTGGTTGCGTTGGCTGCGTTGGCTGCGTTGGCTATGCTGCTGCGTTGGCTGCGTTGGTGGGTGCTGGGTGTTGGTTGCGTTGGTTGCGTTGGCTGCGTTAGTTGGGTGTTGGCTGCGTTGGTTGGGTGTTGGTTGATGTTGCTGGGTGTTGGTTGGGTGTTGGTTGGGTGTTGGTTGGGTGTTGGTTGGTGTTGGCTGGATGCTGGTTGGATGTTGGTTGGGTGTTGGCTGGGTGTTGGCTGATGTTGTTGGGTGTTGGTTGGATGTTGCTGGATGTTGGGTGTTGCTGGGTGTTGGTTGATGTTGGTTGGGTGTTGGCTGGATGTTGCTGGGTGTTGCTGGGTGTTGGTTGCGTTGGTTGATGTTGCTGGATGTTGGTTGCGTTGCTGATGTTGTTGGATATGGTTGGGTGTTGGTTGGGTGTTGGTTGGATGCTGGTTGGATGTTGGTTGATGTTGTTGTGTTGCTGGATGTTGGTTGGATGTAGGTTGTGTTAGACATTCTAGACAACATCACGAGAACGACGAGTTTAACCCTTGAGTCCTGGTTAAATCACAGAACTCAAGGGTAAAACATAGTACCAAGGGAAAATCACAGTACTCAAGGTTAAATCCAGTACCTCAGGGTAAATCATAGTACTAAGGGGTTAACCACAGTACTAAGGGGTTAAATCACAGTACCTAAGGGCAAAATCACAGTACTCAAGGGATAAAAATAGTACCAAGGGTTAAAACAGTACCAAGGGCAACCAGTACCAAGGGTTAAAACATAGTACTCAAGGTGGTTAAATCACACTTCTTCATTACACCAAAGGCCTTGACGCCACACCAAAGGGCTTAATTCCTGTACTGTATAATATCTCACGTATTTATTGAGTAGATTAATGACTAGCAGTTTTCTTGGTAGTTACAGGGGGAGGGGGTGTGAGAGGAGGAAGAGGGAGGGGGAGGGGAGGTGTAGGGTGAGGGGGGAGGGGTGTAGGGGGAGGGGTCAGGGGAGGTGAGTGGTTAAGAGGTGGGGCGATCAACCAGACCACCAAATCACAATGTTTACACCGAGGCTCCCTGCCAGTTTGTTGACGTTCTTGACGGGTGCCAAGTGTCATAACCTGGTGCCAGAGAGGTCATGATGCTTGTATATAAATAACGAGGGTCCAGTGACACGCTTCAGGTGCCAGTGACATGCTTCAGGTGCTAGTGACATGCTTCAGGTGCTAGTGACATGCTTCAGGTGCCAGTGACATGCTTCAGGTGCCAGTGACATGCTTCAGGTGCCAGTGACATGCTTCAGGTGCTAGTATTTAACTGGAATTATGATGACATGTTTCAGGTGCCAGTGACATGTTTCAGGTGCCAGTGACATGCTTCAGGTGCCAGTGACATGCTTCAGGTGCCAGTGACATGCTTCAGGTGCCAGTGTTCTGACCGTAATGTAAATCTTTCGTTTGTTATGATGGTAAAGTTGACCTGAGGGATAAAGAAAGAAGGAAAGGAAAGGAAGGAAGGACGGAAGGAAGGAAGGAAGGAAGGAAGGAAGGAAGGAAGGAAGGAAAGACAAAAATATAGAAAGAAAGAAAGAAAATATGTTAAATGCGTCACTACGTTTTTTAATAACTTGATTTAAATGAAAAACTTGTTCATGTGTGACGTCTACCAGATGTATGATGACGTCAGGTGAGGGAGGACAGAAGAGATGGTTCCACATATTCCTAAGTCTCTACTGTAGCTCCTGGCGTTAAACATTATCCCAATGACTTACAAAAAACAAAAGAAAACAAAGACAATTAAGTATACAATATCAAGAGATGATAAAACAGGTAAATATTTCGTAACATTTATCATAAAACATAAATTCTGGAGAAAGTTTATCATCCTGAAGTTATATTAAAATTATCTTTAAAAATATGTCATATAAAGATGTTGGTTATATATTTTTTACCTTAATTAACACAGAGACCTTGTTATAACGCAGGTAAGGTAGAGTATACCTTCACAGTACAGTTGACGGACATAAACAGTACAATAGCCTAGTACAATATGTAGTCTGTACCCAAAGACGATGTGTATACAACGACAGGTTGTTATATGTCGTAGTAGTACTGTATTTCACTGTATCCGCTGACAGTAAACAGAGATAGAATGTTCGTTTTGGTGTGGATGACGTGGGGAGGGTAGTTGGACGTCACAAGGGTCACCCCGTGCGTCCCGGCGGCCTGACACTACACTACAGTACAGCGCTTCACTGATGCCCCGAGAGAGGAGGTGTGTGTGTGTGTGTGTGTGTGTGTGTGTGTGTGTGTGTGTGTGTGTGTCTATTTACAGGGTGTATCCATATGTGTGTGTGTGTGTACCCCAGCATCGTCACTCATCAAATGGACCCATATATCCTCCCACAGCCTCCTCATAAAAGTCACACACCATACACACACACACCATACACACAATACACACCATACACACACAATACACACACACACACCATACACACACACACCATACACACACAATACACACACACACACCATACACACACACACCATACACACACAATACACACACACACACCATACATCTGAGTCAAGCTGGTGACAGGCGGGCGTGTTACCTAACCTCTCATTAACTAAGAAATAGTTATATGCTTACAGTAACGAGTACAGGAGTGTAGATTACAGTTATTGATACAAGAAAAGAGGAACAGTATATACATAGTGACAAGGATACAGTTAATAATACAGAAATAAGTACAAGTATGAACAGAGAGTAAAAGATATATTTCACATTGAACAAGTAGAAGTGAACACAACCTACAGTACAGTTCACAGACTCAATAACAAGACAGGTGTATGTGTTTAATAATGTGTGGTATAAGTATTAACGGAGATGGTACAGATGGTAGGGTGTGTGGTGGGTGGTGGGTGGTGTGTGGTGTGTGGTGGTGGGTGGTAATGTGTGTGGTGGTAGTGTGTGGTAGTGTGGTGGTAGTGTGGTGGTAGTGTGTGGTGGTAGTGTGTGGTAGTGTGGTGGTAGTGGTGGTAGTGTGTGTGGTGTTCTTGCGCTATATTTACCATCACTACCACCACCACCGTCTACTACACTCGCTCCCTACTAAGCCCGTGTGTGCGTGTGCGTGAACTTGTTGAATGGTCTGACACGCATGTTTCTGATAATCGTCTTAGTCAAGTAACACGATGGATGAGTGGATGTGTGGATGTGGATGAGTGAATGTGTGGATGAGTGACATAGTCTCACCTATACTGTTGCCTCACTTTAGTCTTTGATCGGCTTTTAGAGGGACATCCATATCATCCATCATACCTTAGTGAGAAGAAATTTCTTGGTAGACACGTGGATGAGCTGACACACACACACACACACTAAGCTGGCACAAGTTTCAAGGAGCTTAACACAAGCTTAAATCATAAAGCACACGACAACAGGACGTTACTGTACACTAACAACACCTTCACCTTTGACGACGATGTGTGTGTGTGTGTGACCTAAGTTACGGTAACAGGCTGTGACTCACCTGAAGATTAGGTTAAGTTAAGTGGAAGTGGAATAATTTAAAGATTAAACACCCGAACCTAACCTAACACACCCTGAGTTAACGAGCTGCATGACCCAGTGTTAAGGTGTAGAAGCTGTCGCCAACACAACAACCACACCCTGAGTTAACGCGCTGCATGACCCAGTGTTTAAGGTGTAGAAGCTGTCGCCAACACAACAACCACCAATTCCTGCCAGCGAGCCGTACGACCCGGTGTTTAAGTGGTGAAGAAGCTGTCGCCAAATTACAAATAAATCCACACCCTAAGTTAACGAGATGCATGACCCAGTGTTTAAGGTGTAAAAGCTGTCGCCAACATAACAACCACACCCTAAGTTAACGAGCTGGATGACCCAGTGTGTAAGGTGTAAAAGCTGTCACCAACACAACAACCACACCCTAAGTTAACGAGTTGTATGACCCAGTGTTTAAAGTATAGAAGCTATCACCAACACAACAACCACACCCTAAGTTAACGAGTTGTATGACCCAGTGTTTAAAGTATAGAAGCTATCACCAACACAACAACCACACCCTGAGTTAACGAGCTGCATGACCCAGTGTTTAAGGTGTAGAAGCTGTCGCCAACACAACAACCACACCCTAAGTTAACGAGCTGCATGACCCAGTGTTTAAGGTGTAGAAGCTGTTGCCAACACAACAACCACACCCTAAGTTAACAAGCTGCATGACCCAGTGTTTAAGGTGTAGAAGCTTTTGCGAACACAACAACCACACCCTAAGTTAACGAGCTGCATGACCCAGTGACAAGGAATAGTCCGAGAAGACCGGACAACTCGCCAACTGCACTGGCTAACCATTACCCCGGAACATGATCCACAAATCGATTAACATCCAGGTCCCCAATTACTGCTGGGTAGACAGAGGCAAATGGCGTAAGGAAACTTGCTTATAGTTTCACCCTGCCTGGGGATCGAACCCGGGTCCGCTCGCTTGCGTGGCGAGGATGCCGACACACACGCACACACCTACAGATACACAGACACAAACATACATACATAGAAGGGTGATCAATCTTCAGGTGAAATAATGTGGGGGGCTAATCTTCAGGTGATCCAATTAATTCCTTTTAAATGGGAAGACAAAAGAAACGTCATATAAGGGAGGCTTCTGTCCCCTTACCTGAACCTCTCCTTTCACAAGAAGTTAATTAAGAGAACTGTTATCATCAGCACAGGTGTTATATAATGAAACAACACCTGACGTCTTATGACTAATATTGCCATCACTAATTAGGGAGTAATTTGTGTAAATTATGAACAATATGTTCCCAATATGTGAGGAATACAGTTTTACATACTGTATTGCTCAACTCTGATAACTACCTGAGTGTAGTCCAGTGTTAACGATTCTTACTGTTATCATCCCTGGGGGGCGGCGGGGTCACCTGTTGTACACCAGAGCCTTGATTAACATACCTGAAGTGTGTTAATCAAGGTACAGAACATAACACACCTCACCTGCCACAGTTAATTACCTCGTGACGACCAACACACCTCACCTGCCACAGTTAATTGCCCCGTGACGACCAACACACCTCACCTCATAACCCTGAGAGCAAAGATTCTAAACTTAATTATTTCCTTTTCTGTCCCAGTCTGTAGGTTAGGTTGGGTTAGATTAGGTATTTATTTTTCGTTTATTCAAGAGAGATATAAACTACAGTAGTGCACATTGCTCCCTTAGGTCAACGCTCAGCACCTGACAAAACAGCCTCACTTAACTAGCCTAACCTACCCGACTACTGTACCTGCCCGACAACAACCAGATAATCAAAATCTATAATTAACCTATAATCAAATCTACTCACTGATTATAAAAGACTAATAACACATTAACAACCAACAACATCTGAAATTTCTTGAAGCTCAGTACTACATCATAACATCAACAAGACCTTCTGGAGTCCTTATTTACGCTGATATTGATGTTCTTAATACATTCCTCGGCATTATTAAACACCCAAAGGAATTCAATCGTTTATATATAGTCTTGATAACCTTATGTGATCACTTACTTATGTTACGTGTACCTTATACCTCGATGAGAGACCCGGGTCACCTTTATCTCTCTCTCGGACAGGTGATGTGAGAGATTACCTGAGCTGATTAATCATTATCTCTCGTTCTTAACTACCTGTAGCCTAGAGACACACGTTTTATAATGATAGGCACTACTTTTTTGGTATTATTTTTCTGTTTACCTGTACCGTTATCTGTACCGTTGTTTCATTATCTGTACCGTTGTTTCATTATCTGTACCGTTGTTTCGTTATCTGTACCGTTGTTTCATTATCTGTACCGTTGTTTCATTATCTGTACCGTTCTTTCTATTTACCTGGAGTGAGAGAAGGAAGTAAGGAAGGAAAGAAGGAGAAGGATAGGAGAAAGAAGGATAGAAGTGAGGAAGGGGTGAGTGAAGGAAGGAAGGAAGGAAATAAGAAAGAAAGGAAGGAGGGAAACAGTGAGTGAGCGAAGGAATGAATGGATGAATGAATGAATGAAGGAGGAGTGAATGAATGAAGGATGGGAGAGAGTGAATGGGCAATGGAATGAAAGAAGCAAGGAAAGAAAGAAGGAAGGAAGGGCAGTGAGTGAAGGTAAAGGTAATCTCTCCCTCACAGGTGTGTTAAACAAGCGTCATTAACTTCCTACAGGTGATGTTTTACCTGCCACTCCCACATGATGCGCTGACACCTGTGCCTGATGAGAGAGAGAGAGGGAGAGAGAGAGAGAGAGAGAGAGAGAGAGAGAGAGAGAGAGAGAGTCAGTATATCACGTTCATCCTACGAAAAACAAAAGGTAACTTACGACTAATTAATATCTACTCAGTCACTCCTGGGAAAAAAATATTCCTCAAGTTGTAAATTCAAGTAAGATAGAGGAGGAGAAGGAGGAAGAGTAGGAGGAAGAGGAAGAGAGGAAGGAGGAGGAAGGAGGAGGAAGAGGAAGAGAGGAAGGAGGAGACACAGCGTGAAGGTCGTCCCCCAAGAGAAAACAAACGGGACACGTCATCATTATTTCACTTATTATTAGTAAAATAACCTCTGATGTTGTTATTGTGGGGGGTGTGGGGGGCTAATGGGGGTGGTGGGGGTGGGGGGGTGTGGGGTGGTGTGTAGAGTGTGGGGGGTGTGGTGGGGGTGTGGGGGTGGTGGTGGTGTGGGGGTGTGTGGGGGTGTGGGGGGTGTGGGGGGTGGGGGTGTGGGGGTGGTGTGGGGGTGGGGGTGTGGGGGTGGGGGGTTACAATGAGGGGTGTGTGGGTGTGGGGGGTGTGGTGTGGTGGTGTGGGGGTGTGGGGGTGTGGGGTGGTGGTGGTGGGGTGTGTGGGTGTGTTAAGTTATCTCATCCAATACACACATACCAGAATTCCTGAAATTGAGGACGATGATTTAACCCTTTGTGGACAATGGCTTAACCCTTGAGGACGATGGTTTAACCTTAGACATGATGGTTAACCCTTTGAGGATGATGGTTTAACCCTTTGAGGACGATGGTTTAACCCTTGAGGGATGATGGTTTAAACCCTTGGGATGGTGGTTTACCCTTTGAGGATGATGGTTTAACCCTTGAGGACGATGGTTTAACCCTTAGAGGATGATGGTTTAACCTTTGAGGACGATGGTTTAACCCTTGAGGACGATGGTTTAACCCTTGGGACGATGGTTTAACCCTTGAGGATGATGGTTTAACCCTTGAGGACGATGGTTTAACCTTTGAGGACGATGGTTTAACCCTTTGAGGACGATGGTTTAACCCTTAGGGATGATGGTTAACGAGACGATGGTTTAACCCTTTGAGGACGATGTTTTAACCCTTTGAGGATGATGGTTTAACCCTTTGAGGACGATGGTTTAACCCTTTGAGGACGATGGTTTAACCCTTTGAGGATGATGGTTTAACCCTTTGAGGACGATGGTTTAACCCTTTGAGGATGATGGTTTAACCCTTTGAGGACGATGGTTTAACCTTTTGAGGACGATGTTTTAATCCTTTGAGGACTATGGTTTAACCTTTTGAGGACGATGTTTTAATCCTTTGAGGAGGATGGTTTAACCCTTTGAGGACGATGGTTTAACCCTTTGAGGAGAATGGTTTAACCCTTTCATGGTGTTTATTTAACCTTGTCATCAAAGGGTTTGGTTAGGCTAGGTTAGATTAAGGCAGGTTAGATTATCTTGGCTTCAGATCAAGTTTGGTTGATTCATGTTTTATGTACAGACGACACGATCAGGTTTAACACACAACAACTTCATAATAATAAGTGGTTAAGAAAAGATATCCTTCATATTTGACCATTTTATTGTCTTTTAGTATAACAGGAGTCATGTGTCTACAATGGTGACTTAACACTTCTCACCACCACTACACACACACCTACACACACACCTACACACACACACACACACACCTACACACACATACAGGTCTCCGGAGATGCGACAGTTTGCTGAAATATTTTTTTTCTTCTTCACTAACACAAGCACCGTCTATGACACTCTTTCTCTGTGGGCCAGGTGGGTTAACTCATTAGTCCAGGGCCAGGTGTCATCACACAGTCCGCTGGTAGTGGTTGTTACCGAGTCATTACGTCACTGTATGTCACCAGAGCTTAGTTAACTGTTCCTTCTGTGTGTTAATGTTCCCTGCCTTGACCTGGCCCACGACACCCAGGTCACAACCTTCAACTTTAAATACATTTACACTGTTAAAATGACCTGGGAGTCGAGGCCCTCAACACCATCACCTTGGCATTATTTTTCACACGCTAGATGGCGCTGACACACAACCTCTATGCGTCATTACACTTACTGGCCTTCATATGGTGTACTGTTAACACTCAAGACTCAACTGTAATTCTTATCATTCAACTTTTCAGTCACTGCGCCATCTTTATCTTTTTCATTAACTGTTCTTTTCTTTGGGTGTGATTTTCTGTGTGTGAGGACGACCTTGACCACAGCCACAAGGATGAGTATGACCCCGAGGGTGACCAGCACCCAGGTGGCCACGTTGACCAGAGTGAAGGGTAGGGTGAGGGTGCGGTGGAGGGCGGCAGTGCGAGCCAGAGGTACCTCCACGCTCTCATTTACCCACAGCACCGGCAGGATCACGTCAGGTACACTCCTAAAGGAGGGCAAGTTGCTGTACTGACGGAGAGGGATGTTCACCTGGATCCTCTTAGCGGCGCGGAAGGTGACACCTGTTGTGGGTTCTATATCCAGGTAAGTCTCATGCTCCTCCTCTCGTGGGTCCAGACCGACCACCTGTTGAGCATCCTCGATCTCCCCCTGGTAGAAGTGTGGTGTCGACATCACCACAGGAGCTCCCTTCCTGCAGGGGGCCACGTTGATCATGGAGGGGCGGCAAGTGAAGTCGTCGGTACAGAAGCACTTGTTTTCGGGGCTGTTGGCCAGTAGTTGGGCGGGCAACACGTAGCGGTAGAGGGTGAGGTGGCCGTGTGTCACCTCCTTCTGGAACACAGCGTAAATGGAACGACACAGCTCGGCCGTGTACAGCCTCAGAGGTTCGTGTTTACTCACGAGTGGCGGGAACTGGTTACCTGTGGTGCCGTTGATCATGTTGCACGAGTTGCCACCCCACATGTCCCTCTTCCAGAAGTCGATATGTTCTTCTCCTTTCCACCTGACGATGTGTTGGTACTCCGCCATGTCCTTCACGCCCGTGTAGACGGTGTACGTCCCGTCGTTGGAATTATTCTTCGGGTAAAAGAAACCAAACTTTCCTGTGGCGTGGACGGGGTCTTTGGTCATGGGCGCGAGCTGCTTCAACATGGGCTCGTCGTACCCGTAGAATAACAGCTCCCCAACCGGCTTGGTGATGAAGGGCGTCACACTGAACCTTACAAACACTATTTCTATTATACCCTTGAGGGCGGAGGGCAGACCCTCGAACTTGGAACCGATGCTCATCATGATGGCGTTAATGGTGGTGATCTTGTCGCTCTCCTTGTGACCCTCCGACAAGTCTTCCCGGAAGTAAAAACTTTTGTTTTGCAGGTAAGTAACTGACCCTTCATGGTCGTGGAAGGTAAGGTTGTACTTGAGTTGCTTCTCCTCGAATGTGTAAGGTCCCACTTGTTGGAGGACAGGGACGGCACCCCCCAACACCTCCTCACTGTTGGTCACGTTGAACAGCCAGAACTGCATGAAGATAGGTACGGGAGGACTCTTAAAGGACTCCAGCGTCTTGGAGCCCGGCACAAGGAGGAGCTTGTTGGAGAGCATCTTGTCGAAGACGCTGGAGAAATATCGTTGGAAGACGAGGCTTCCAGCGATGAGGGCGACACCCACCACCACCAACACCGCCACCTGCACCGCCACCTTCATCCTCACTGTCCTGTCACACACACACGGCGCGACCTCCCTCACTCACCTACACTTCCATAGTTCACAAGATAAGGATATTAACTCTACACTTCAGTTCAATGTCACTTAAATTTCACCATAGAGTAAAACACACATCAGCAGGAGGGGGTGTGTGTGTGTCTCACGCAACACATGGTCCACAGTACTTGTGTAACTCCTCACACTACATATCTGTGGCAGGAGAGATGGTCACTCCACACCGGCACCACACACCTCCCAGCGAGGAGCTCACCACCTCAAACAGCCAACATTTCCCGGGCTCTTTCACTGTAGTGTTCCCGGGGCAAGGAGCACGTGTGTGATGCCGCGTGTTGAGGCGACCAGCTTGGCGTCGCGGCGTGCTCTGCTCTCACCTCACACCCGGCGGTGTTGCTGCTCCTCCTAACACCTCTGGTTACTACTCCGTCAGCGTCCTCCCTGGGGGCGGGCGTGATGTGGCAAGTGCAGGCTGGATTAGTACTGATGTTGGTGGAGGGGACAACGTGTGCACATGCGCGTGGTGTGCAGAGGTAAATGTGAGTGTGTGTGGTGGTACATCTGCGGCCCGGGCAGAACAACCACTCTCTGCCACGCTCCACGTGACTATGAGTGGGCCGGGGACGTAGAGCTGCTCTTGCCTCTCACACACACTCCCTTACGCAGCTACCCCCCTATTATTCACCACCCTCACCACACACCCTCACCACACCCACCCACCTTACTCAACAACACTCTGGACGACCCTTGACCAACACCACCACTTCAGCACCAGCCGTCGGGGCGGTAAGGCCCCCGGGAGATGAACAGAGAGAGAGAAGGAGAGAGCACTGCTACCATTATAATGTATTGATGTGATCGATGAAACAGCGTTAGGTGTTGTACATAGTGGGAGCGTCGCTGTGTCTGTGGCCTGGTGTGTGGTGAGTACTACTCCCTCCCACACACACACACACACACACACACACACACACACACACACCACTTCATTAACACGATAAAAACAGCTCGTTAGCACCAGTTACCCCGAGTCTTTAACAGCCTTACTAACAAGACGTTTCCAAAACCCACAAAATGGATCTGGCTTCGTGATAACAGACACGAGGAGAGGAGTCCAAGGATATATGGAGAGAGAGAGAGAGAGAGAGAGAGAGAGAGAGAGAGAGATATCTCGCTATCAAGGAGGAGGTGCAGACGGACACTACTCACTAAAGATAACCACAGCTCAACACAGCCCTTGATATCATGCCAGCAGCTAAGTCAGTCTTGGATGATAGCCAGTAAGCCTTCAGTGGTATCATAACTGGGGTGGGGGGGGTTATCGTGTATCGTTATATAACACAGGGATGCCAAAATGGGTTCAGGTAAAGTGCCACACCTCACTTGGCACTGTGACACACACACACACACACACACACACGCACACACATATATCCCTCTCAACACATCTATTATCCACTCACATATCCACACTACCCCTCACCCCCCTCATCCACACCAGACACTCCCGCCCACACACACATGATCACACCTGTACACCTGTCCTCTTACGGACGTGTACAGGTGTAGCCAAAATTCCCTGGACACTCGACAACCTGACCTAACCTGACCTAACCTGATCTGACCTAACCTAACCTGACCTGACTTAACCTGACCTAACCCAACCCACCTAAATTAACCTAACCTATCCAAACCTAACCTAACCTAACCTAACCTAACCTAAACATGTGGGTCATTATGTGTGTTTGATTTATAGCTGGAGAAACAATAATGAACATAAGAACATAAAAATGGAGGAAACTGCAGCGGGCCTATTGGCCCATACTGGGCAGTCCCATTTACACCCAACCGCCTATTGCTCATATTAGCATCCAACCTATGTTTGAGGCTATTCAGCATATTCGAGTTAATGATGATATTTGGTAACTTGTTCCATTCATCCACTACTCTATTTCCAAACCAGTGTTTACCTGACTTCCATTTATACACCTCTATCAGGTCGCCCCTCGCTCTACGTCTCTCGAGGGAGTGCAAATTAAGATGCTTTAACCTGTCTCTGTACTCAAGGTTCCTATTGCCCGGGATTAGTCTTGTCATTCTTCTCTGGATTCTTTCCAAGGATTCTATATCCATTCTGTAATACGGTGACCAGAACTGAACTGCGTAATCCAGGTGAGGTCTCACAAGCGCTAGATATAATTTTAAGATGACCTCGCTAGTCTTGTAACTAACACTCCTTTGTATGAACCCAAGTACTTTATTAGCCTTGTTACGAGCAAAAACACATTGTTTACTTGGTTTAAGATTCCTACTTATCATTACTCCTAAATCTCTCTCGCAGTCGGATTTCCACATGGCATCGTTGTTCATCTGGTATCTGGTTTCCCTGTTTACATCTCCTATACTGAGTACTTTACATTTGTCGACGTTGAATTTCATCTGCCATTTTTCCGACCATTCGACAAAATTGTTTAGATCTTCCTGTAGTTTTGCGGAGCCTCGTCAGATTTAATTACACGTCCTATTTTAGTGTCATCAGCAAATTTACTTATGTTGCTGTCTATGCCGATATCTATGTCGTTTATGTATATAATAAATAATAATGGTCCAAGTACTGAGCCCTGGGGAACTCCACTAGTGACGTTGCTCCAATGCAATTTAGTGCCGTTTATGCTCACTGCTGTTTCCTGTCCTGTAACCACGCCCTAATCCATTTAAGGATATCACCTTTGATGCCATGCGCTTCTACCTTTCTAATTAGCCTTTCATGGGGAACTCTGTCGAAGGCTTTGCTAAAGTCGAGATATACCACATCATAATTGTACCCCTCGTCCCCTGATTCGAAAACAGCTGAAAAGAATGTTAATAGATTAGTTAGACATGAACGCCCGCTTGTGAAGCCATGCTGGGAATCATTGATCAACTTGTGCTTCTCCAGGTGATTTCGAATAGAGTTTGAAATAATTGATTCTAGTAATTTGCCTACAATTGATGTTAGACTGATTGGACGGTAGTTAGAGGAAAGTGATCTATCTCCCTTCTTGAAAATCGGTATTACATTCGCTATCCTCCAGGATTCTGGTACTACACCCGTTTTTAATGACATGTTAAACAACTTTGCTAAGGGCATACTAAGCTCTTCCTTACATTCCTTTAATACTCTGGCAAATATCTCATCGGGACCAGGTGACTTATTAGGCTTTAGTTTGTCTATCTGCTTATTAACATCGTTACTAGTCACTACTATCTCGCTTAATTTGTTTTCTTCACTATCTCTGTATAGAGTCGGTGCCTCGGGTATCATGTTTAAATTCTCGGTGGTGAAAACTGTTGAAAAATATTTATTCAGATTATTGCTCATTTCTCCGTCGTTATCAGTTAACTCGCCGGTATCTGACTGTATTGGTCCAATCTTTTCTCGTGTTTTAGTTTGATACATAATGAACAATGGTGAACAACAGTGAACATTAGAGTTTACACCCAAATAACATAACACTTCATCCCGACTAAACACCCCCCCAAAATATGAGAAATTTGACGTTAAAATCACATTCCTTAACATAACCCTGAGGAGGATAATGGCAGATGTGGTGCAGTGTGTTGTGGTGTAGTGTAGTGTAGTGTGGTGTAGTGTGGTGTAGTGTGATGTGGTGTAGTGTGGTGTAGTGTGGTGTGGTGTGGTGTAGTGTGGTGTGGTGTGGTGTGGTGTAGTGTGTTGTGGTGTAGTGTGGTGTAGTGTGGTGTAGTGTAGTGTGGTGTAGTGTAGTGTGGTGTAGTGTAGTGTAGTGTAATGATAACAGTTAAAATGTCGTCAATATTGTACTGAGACTAAACTACGGGTAAATATAGTGTTATTACCCGAGGATGAGAGAAGCACTGGGCAGATCAGGATGTTGTCTATAATCACACACAGTTGACCGAGTCTGTGTAAACAAACAACGACAGTAAACAACAACAAAAGTTAAATATGAATCATTTCAGAGAACTCAGAGCTTTGTGTGAAGGAGGAATGAATCACGTTCACATGACGGTCACACACACACGCGAGTCTCTCTCTCACTCACTCAGATTAAAAATTTCTTCTTATTTCTTAATTTCTTTACTTTACCTCCCGAGTCTTTCAATATAGAGACGTAAGCCTAATAATAATAAACTACTACTATTAATACACATGAATAATTTAACAAAAAAAACCTGTCAATAAACGTGTACAGTACCGGTGGGGGACAACACGCCAGTTAAAAAACAACAACAAAAGAATGTGTTTAATAATAGTGAGTGATTTGTGGTGCCGCCTCCCTCAACCGGAGGACGTGTGTGGTGGCCTGAGAACTGAACACCGAGTCACTTGTACTCCCTCCTTGAGCCACTACTACCACCACCACCTGAACCACCAACACCCGATTGGTGGTAGAAGCGGTACCGCTCCTGCCTCGCAAGCGAGATGTCACGGGTTCGATTCCCGGGCCGGTGGAAGTTGTTTGGACTTACTTCCTAGCCCCCATTAGTCCCTGTTCACCTAGCAGTAAAGTAGGTACCTGTTGTAAGTCGAAAGTTGCGAATTCGTATTCAGGGACAAGTTGTTGGAGCTTCCAATAACTTGAGGACATAAACCATTGACTCTTCAGGCTTCTACGCCCTTGACTCACTGTAAACGCTTCTGCGCTTCACCTTACACAAGGATGTAGGGGAGCCGGTGTCGAGGATGGTGTAGAAGCTTCTTACCAAATTTGCAGATGAGGTCGTGGTGATGGTCAGTGAGAGCCGAGAGGGTCAGTGTGTTGAGCGCTTCTTGATATGTGGAGTAGGAAGGGGAGAGAATAATCTTGCATGCCCTCTTTTGCACTTTTTCTAGGTGTTTACGTTGTGTGGCATTTAGGGAGGAAGACCAGGTGGGGGAGGCATAGGTGAGCTTGGGAAGTATGAATGTTGACTAAACACTGAGGAGCTCGGGGGTAGGAACTCCGAGGGACTTGAGTCGGCGGAGGAGGTGGAGACAGAAACTGGAGGATTTGACAACTTCACTGACGTGTGGTTTCCAATTTAGTTTGTTGTCTATGGTGACGCCGAGGAGCATAGTGGAATCTACAACCTGGAGTGTGTTGGGGCCTAAAGTAATTTTGCATATTTGTATGTATGTCTGCACATGTATGTATGTATGTATGTATGTGGAGACAGCAAGGTACACACATACTGTATATTCAGGTCAGGTTTTGGATAAATAAATGGTCTGATTTAAGCTGCTGCCTTCATTAAGACTTACTGTATATAATTCTGTCTGTCTGTCTGTCTGTCTGTCTGTCTGTCTGTCTGTCTGTCTATCTAACAGCAGATAACATTCTCTCTCTTATCTCCACGGCAGAGGCAACCAGGGGAGGCGAGAGAGAGAGAGAGAGAGAGAGAGAGAGAGAGAGAGAGATAACATGTTATACTCTCCCCTCTAACAGGTACCAGGTAAGCAATTAAGATGAAATGCCCAAGGGACGCTTGGAATGCCCAAGGGACGCTTGGAATGCCAGAGGGACGCTTGGAATGCCAGAGGGACGCTTGGAATGCCAGAGGGACGCTTGGAATGCCAGAGGGACGCTTGGAATGCCTGAGGGACGCTTGGAATGCCTGAGAGAT